ATAATGTAAATCAAAATTATATTGAAGTATTTCATTCAGTGTAAAGAAAACATTTTTCAGATTATCAAAACGATTGTTAATTACATATGTGATGAAAGCTCATGAGAGCACTTGCCAAAAGCTGGCTCACATATTCAGTTGTAATCAAGCTGACGAATTGATGTGAATAGATTATAAGATATTGCATCGAGAACGCACAGCTCTAACATCTTAGATAAACATTGCCGCCACAGGAAAGTTGTGTCCGAACAATGGTTGCAGCTAGTTTTTGTTCCTCTAAATAAAGATGCTAATTATTTCATATTAGTAGCAAAAGCTGATGTTATTGACAACTTTTTGGATAAAAATAGTACATAAAACAAATTGCAGGAGTTGTTTCATAGTGTACTATACTAGGATATCTGTATTGATTCATACAACTGAAGTTGTTCTGATTAACAAAAAATAAAGGAAACATATCTTTCTAAGTTTTTGTTTAGGCTGACGAATGCCAAAGCATTTTGAAGAAATATCAAAATCTCAGACATATCCAGACGAAGTATTTCTTGTTAATAAAGGTTTTTGTTTGACAATGATTTCTAGTCTTTGATAATGTCATTTGTTAGTAGGCTACTTAAAAGTTTGTGATATGCTAAAGTGTCTCACTCAAGAATAGTCAAACATCTCTAGGTAAGAAAATTTAATAGTTATCAATTGTAAATTGTAGATTTTATTCAAGTTCCTCTTAAACCTGCTCTATTCTATTTTTCATTATGTTGTGAAATTAAAAGTAAATAGGTGAGGCAGATAGCATCTATAAGTAATAAATGCATGTCTATAGTTGATTGTTTTGAAATTTGACGAAATCTAAGAATAGTTCAATTCGATCTTTTTAAGGTGTATTGAATAGCAATTCGAGCTAAGTGACAACTTATAACAATCTGCTCGACTAATCAGAAACTAGTTTGAGTACAGATGGTGGATTTCGAAATATCTAAAACTTCAATGAAATCATAATTGGTGATTTTTTTTCGATTATCTAAGTGAGCTATCTTCGAGTTACTCTGATCAGTTGAAAATTGGTTGATTTTGAAGAAAGTGATCTGCTATATCATGCTTCAGTTAAAAACAGCTTTTCAAGGACATAAATCGTAGAAAATGAAAATTTTTGGTGTTTATCATATAATCAATACATAAAAGTGAACAATATTTGAAAAATCAGTGTAAAACATCATGGAAGCTATGCTTTTTTGGGTCTGTATCAATGAGATATATTAAATTTTGATGCGATGATTTCCTCTGACACCGTCATAAATTTCAAACAAATCCTAAAACAGATCTTGTTCGTAATTAATATATATTTTTCTTCTAGAGATTGATCCATTTCACAATGTCAATAGTATTCAAACTTGCTAATTTCTACGATTATTGCGTATGTCAAAAAAGAAGTGAAAAGTCACCAAGATATCTCACTTCAATTTTTATCTTTACAAAAGAGAGAAATAATAATTTAGATGTTGTAAATAAAATGTAGCCTTGCTTTGATCCTTTTCTTCGCACTGTATAATAAAATCACATAATCACTAACTGAAGACTTTTTATACATATTTTTCATAGTCGACAGATTTTTATACTGATTTTTTTATCCTATGATCTTCTTGTGGAATCAAGATGAGAAAACTTGAATAATCACTTCATTATTTCGGACATTATGCACAAGATCAGGAACAGAATGAGATGCATGTCATTGTTGGATGTCTTTACAGATTCGAGATGTTTTTACTAAATACTAAAGAAATTTAAATGTCTTATTCTCATATCATATTTTGTCGACTATCGAAGTCCATTTCTTATTCCACTCATTATGATCGAATAAAAATAACTTTATGATTTTCCAACTAGTAGAAAAACAAATAATATCAAAAACTTTTGTTGTAAATTTTATTGAGGTGCATACCCATTGGTTTTGGTTGGCGCGATTGATTACCCACATAAACAGATTTTTCTTCGACATATATCATGCGTTGCCATACAATTTGATCACTCTGTTTCGTATTCAGTTCGATAGCCGGTGATTGTGCTACTTGCTCTAAAACTTCATTAAGTTAACGAATTTCTTGTTTCAATCGAATTAAATTCTGTTCAATAACTCTTTTTTTGTATCTCGTAGTTTCTTCAATTCTTGCGACAGTATTTGAAAATTTCTCGTAATTTCTTCCCGTTTGGAGTTCGTGATTTTGAAGACCTATTGTCGAACAAATTCAGCAGCTTGTTTTACCTTCTCAATGGTTGTTCGTTGCCATTCATCAATAGGTGCAAAACAACGTTTGCCAGAGTGATTGTTTGAAGTGGTCTCGTTTATTCTTACTTGAAGATCATTCCGATCCACTATAACTCCATCTAATTCATTGAGTATACACTCCACGATGACTTTGAAAATCATCATCACAAAAGTACGCTTTGCATCCAGGGCAAAAACAAATGCCTGCACCTTTTCTGCATACTGAACAACAATTTGATGAAGCCATTACTCTAGAAATGATACGCAGCAACATTTTTCTAATTGAAAATTATAAAGGCATATCAAGATGCGCTAAAAAATGCAACAATTACGTGTATATAGCTAATATTACTCATTTCACAATGAATGATCGATACAACAAGGGGATAAAAGTAATACTCTGTTCCGTATAGTCCCGGCCCACAAACTTTAGAAGAAAGGTACGAACTTGGAAATAGAAATACAGTGATCGTATTCAACGACAGCGCTGCATAACCACACGTGATTCCTACAGAAATCGAGAGAGTCCGGTTAAGGGATCTATAAATTGGGTTTCTGCTTCCAAGTTCCTACCATTTCCGATTTTAGTTCGGCTGTACGCTACTGATCTGAGTTGTTCTGCTTCAATTCAAATATCATTCTAGTACTAATATGTGAAAACCATACAAGGTCACGATAAGTAGACCAGGACGACGAAAATGGATGATAAGCATTGACAGGCTGAAGAAGTTCATAATCAGTAATGAACAGCTTGAGTCTCTACTACTTATGGTTAGACTGACATTAAGATGAAAAAACATATATCCAATGAGGCTATTATTCCTCTTCTTCAACAATTCCTTCTAGTTCTTAAATTCAAGTACTTGAAAAGTAGGTGCGAATGATATATTTCGTCTTGGTACTAAAACATGTTGACTGTAATAAAATATTTCGATATTGTATAGAAATCATGTGCTATTGTATATCTATTTTCTTTGAGACACTCAACTTTGTTAAACTATCTAATTCATACAGATTAAGATAAAGAGGGGCTCAAATATAGTAGAACTTGAATCAAAATATGTAGTTTCTCGTGACACATAACAATGCTTACTTTTCACTAAAAAAGTGCTTCACTGTTTTTTTTCTCCGATTTTCAATTGCTTCAATTACCTGAAAGTAACCGGTTTATGCTTTTTCTTTACTTTTAAGTAAAAAATAAATGACACGATGAGGATGTACACAAGCACGTTTTTTTCATCAAGCGAACAATAAATTTCGGGGATAGACGATGATGTTTGTTAATGAAAGTTGGTAGAAGGCAAATTCTTTTCTTTTTGAATGTGAAAATGACGGTGACATTGAATAAGTGAAGAAAAAAAAAACGTGTAATAAAGCATCTTATAACATATACTAATGAAAGATAAACCATGAATAAAGAAACCATTATTATTTCATCATCGTTACTCTAGATTTTGTTAACAACTGAAAATCGTTTTCTATAGCCACCTCGTTATGGTGAAAAACTAGTTAAAGAAGATTTTTTTCGTGAATATAAATCATGAACAAGTAAATGAACGTCTTATTAATAATTATTTTATATTGACTGAAAAGAAGTTTTATTTACATTTATTATAGAATACTCATGAATGACGAGATTTTGTTTTTTCTTTGTTTCAACTATCATTAACGATTATTTGTTAAAAGTGAATCATATCAGTTGTTTTCATTGAGATAATCAAAATTATCTCTACAATTGGTCGTCGATCTTTCGTCACATATAACTGAGGATATATAAAAATTCTCAGGGATAATCCAATAAATACATGAATAAAATTGATCTCCTGTTGTTGAAACTGAAGACAGAGAGAAAAATGAAGCATTTAGTAATTTTCATGTTTGAAAATGTGTAAGGCAATGAAAATTGACAAAAAGAATAACGTAAAATTCAGAATTAGATTTTAAATCATATCTTTACACGAAAGAAAATATCAGGGATAACCTCACTGATGTTTAAAGAAGTAACTAAGAAAACAAAATGGTTACAGTAAATGTATTAGTAATATTGCGCAGCTGCATTTCGAGTCCTACAATTAGTCGATATTCTCAGCAACTGTACTTTGACATCAGTGTCAATAAGTATAGAACATATATTCATAAGAAAGCAATTGTTTGTCTTTTATAAAGAAAAAAAACGAAGATCCCATGTATCACATTTATTCTCAGTACCATCGGTATACCGCGGTACTTGTAAAACCAGTATTATTAGTTTATAAGACATTGAGTCTTAGTAATATTCTTTGTCTTTTTCTTCAACAAATTAGTCTTGCCTTAATTGATGATTGTATTGAATTTTTGACAGATAATTGGAATTAAATATATTCATATTTGGCTCAATTAATTGAGAAAATCAATAATATTTTAAATCTCCTCAATCTAATAGTATTATTTCAAATCAATATGGAAAATATTCGCCCTTTCTTCTTTCTATTCCAAGCTCTAACATCAAATACATCTTTATTAAATTACAACATCTAATAAGCAACATAAAACGAAAAGATGAGGAGAACTCAAATAAAAAAAGAAGAATTACTAAAATAAATAAATTAATTTCGTTCAATAATAAAATTTTCCAATGCATCCTTAAGATGCCACTCTTGCCCATTTGTTCAATTATCACAAGAGAGAGAGTGTTGCTAAGTGACAATGTATTTCTAGAATAAATCAATGAATGTGAACTTTTGTTTTCTCTAAGTCACAAATGCCAATATCTAATCTTACTAACGGAATACCAAGTGATCGAAAAATCGATCAATTTGAGCCTGTATGTAATACTATTTTTCAATGTTATTTTATTTAGAATTTTCTTTTTACTATAGCCATATGGTTACCTATCATCAATAGATCCATATCCATGTTTTGATGAAAGTGTTATAAATTATTCAACTAATCAACGTAGTCAAAAATCATCGTAAGAAATAAATAATGTCTTTTTTTAAAAGATAATTTTTTATTCTTCATTTCTAGTAATCTTATTTGTAAATTAGTTCTTATCGGTGATGTTGCTGTAGGAAAATCAAGTTTAGCTACAAGGTATAAGAGATATAAAACGAAAAAAAAACATTGTACTGAAAAAAATTAATTTTTTTAGGTTGTGTCATAATACATTTGATCGAAATTATAAAGCAACAATAGGGGTTGATTTTGAAGTTGAAAGATTTTTGATTTTGGGTGTACCTTTATCATTACAAATATGGGATACTGCTGGACAAGAGCGATTCAAATGTATTGCGGGTAAATATTCTTTATTACATTTTCAAGTTCAATAAAATATTATCGTTTTTTTTTTTGTTTTTTTAAAACAAAAAGCTGCTTATTACAGGGGTGCTCATGTAATCATAGGAGTATTTGATATGAATGATCTTGACACATTGAAAAGTGCTGAACGTTGGATCAATGAAGCATTACAAACAACAATAACAGATAATCCTCTCGTATTTTTAGTTGGCTCAAAACGTGACTTAATAGTAAGTTATAATTTTATTCTATTAAAATATATCGTTATGTTTAGACAGATAATAAAATTCATACAAAAATTGAACAAACAGCTCGTATAATTGCTAAACGTGTTAATGCAGAATTTTGGTCTGTGTCATCATTGACAGGTAAGAATTATAATTAATAAATATATATATATATATATCAAGTAAAAAATAAATTTTAGGTTATCAAGTTGAAGAATTTTTTAAACGTATTGCTTGTGTAGCATATCAAATGTTAATTAAACAACAATTAACTTCACCAAATACATCTATTGAAAAAATAACTACAAAAACTCAATTAGCTGTTAATCTTAATTTAACAAATAGTAAAACATTAGTCAAAAAAATTTTTAATTATCATTATTTAAATTTTTCTTTTCATATTCTATAGATCATAGTTCCAAACAAAAATCAAATGATAATTGTTGTAATACTGTCTAATAGAAATAAGTTGCATTTTGTTAATTATGTAGTTCGATTTTGTCACTTTTGTGTTATTTGTCAATTGTGTAAAAATAAGTTTTAATAAGAATTTCAAATCGATAGAAAATATTGACAATTCTCTGTTTAATGTTTATTTGTGAATACAACAATTTCTGACAATTTATCAAAGAATAAATTATTAATTGCATCTGAGAAACATTTAGATATTGTTAAAAAACAAAACTTGAAGACAATTTTCAGATTCATACATATATGTTATTAAAGAAATTAAAGCTAATAAATGATGTTGGAATTTGAACAGTCTGTTCTTTCGGTATAAATTTATAACGAAATGAATTATTAAGATCTCGCTCTGTACAAGTGATTTTCACATCAGATTTTATTTAATACAGTTTATGATGTTTCTATACATTTATAGAATTCAGATTAAGTCAACTATTCAATTGAAAATTATCTAATTCATTTAGCATACTATTCGCATTAGATGTTTTGAAAGAAGAAAGAGACGCATATTAATCATATAAAAACAGTTAATAAAAATGGATCTTTATTTAAGAGCTCCCTATGATCTTAGAAAATCCATTATTTTTCGAAAAATTGAACATAAAAGTGTTTTTTTACTACTGTCGAATATTATATCGGTCAGGAAATATACGTCAGACTATTGTATTAAGTCAAAATTCGTCATACAAACCGGATTATATTTATATATTGAATTTGGTATGATATCATATTATTAAAACAAAATCGAAATATTATCTATAGTATATAGAAAAGAGAAGAATAACGCGTGCCGGTATATCGACCTGTTAGATCGACAAGGAAAATCCTTCTAGTTCCAACTCTGGTCAGAATATATATGACTTTTCGAAAAAAAAAATGCAAGACTTGAACAAGTTTTCCATCTAGTTCAAGCTATGAGTAAAACTTTTTGTTTGTTTTAAAGATTAGAATATTCGATATTCTTCTGAAAGCCATAAATAGATTATAAATGAACCAAAAGTTTGGTCTAGTTTGACGTATCGGTCTGAAATTTTTACAAAAAAGAGTTTTCAATAGGATCACTCATGCCTGGAAATTTCAGCAAATTTTCATTACTGAACATAATAAACATTATATATATATATATATATGAAAATCTTAAGATGAATTGTATTTTAGAATACTGATTGATATTTATTATTGAAAAGAAAAGAGAGAAGAAGAAATTCAAATCAATCAAACACACGTATATCTTTCTTTCATACACTCACTCTAACGCTATGAGCTGACTGACAGCAGAATAAAGAAAAGAGAGATAAATAAAGACAAAAAAAAAACGTGATAATAGAGCAAATCTCTACACAACCGTACAAAACAAGTACACATTGTTTGATAAAATATGAAATAGTATGTGTCATGTTTATATGTATTGTGTAAAAGATTGATAATACAGTAAAAAGAAAAATGCGGCAAAAATAAAATGAAGATAAAATTGAAAAAAAGAACTTGCACTGAATGATGATGATGATGATGGTGATGATGATATAATAGTTAACAAAATGACACAGAGGGAATATATACGATGATGGCAGAGTGCAATAAAATTACCACATATGCAATAATTCCTGTTCCTCTCCAAATAGATCTCAAATCATAATATATGTTTGACTAATAAACATATATATCATTAAGATAAATAAATCCGTTGCCATCAACTACAAATGAAAATAAAGAAAAAGATAGAGCGCGAAAGAGAGAGACAGATCAGAAAAAAAAGAAAAATTTAGTTAATAATGTCTAATGTTTTTTCAATGTTTGTCCCACATAATAATTGCCACTTTGATAACCACCTTGACCAGTACTTTGTTGAGTCTTCAAACAAACCGTACAACGACTTATCTTATTTCTATGATTTCCCGATTTCAATGTTTCTTGACGTGGTACTTCAAATTGATTATTTTGATCAATAACTGTCATCCAATAACTGAATTTATTAGCGTAATACATGCAATTTCCATCTGTTCCAGAACATTCAATAAATGGTGTTGCACGGAAATCTTCCAAACATGAACCAGGACTTGCTAATGATTGACCGCCGCCTTGTGCACCACGACCAAGATGCTTTAAAAAACAAACAACACAATCAAATACATATCTTTCTTATTCTAGTATTTTTATCTAATGATACAATAGAACGTAACTTTCTCGTCTGTATATATATATTTACGAAAGAACCGTTTCAAATGATAAACTGTTTTTGAGTTCGAACTCTATGCATAAGGTAGATCCCATTGAGATATGAAATGTTTCAAAAGGATACCTGTCATTGAAATGTTTCTTTAAGATTTATAGTCATTTTATTTGAAAACAATGCTTCCTTCGTAAGATATTCAATTTCTAAAAAATCATTTATATCCTACGAAAGATGTGCGAATTTTAATATCTCACGAAGAAAACATTGTTTCAAGCTTAAATTTTCCGAACAAGTAGATCTACCTTGCTTTTCTTTTTTTTTTATAGCATAGTGATAATATATTTGCTTAAAAAAAAGCATTCAATAATTTTTTTCTCGTTTATGTTTTGATTATAAAATACTTACCATAACAAAACTATAACCTTGCCATAAAATATTCCAGCCATTTGGACATGGTGGTGGTGTCATTGATAAACTATGGAATGACATAACATTAGCAGGTGCTTCACATACAGCACAACGTGATATATATGGTCGAATTTGTTCACGTTGAACAGGCATCATTGGCATTGGTTCTGTTGTTGATAAATAATATGTTAAATCATTTGTTTGACCGTAGTAACAAACGTTTGTATGATCACAACGTAAATATGGTAGTGCAGAGAATTTTTGAAGACATGAACCAGCCGAACCTTTAATTAAGATTTAAGACTTGTGTTTATTTTAGAAAAAAAAAGAAAAAGTATTTACCAAGATCTTGATGATAACCATGATCATTGCCTTGCATCATAAGTAAACTGTAACCATCCCATAGTTTAACCATGCCTGATGGACAATCTGGTACTTGAGATGATTGTGAGTGACGTACAACCAAGAAACCAGTTCGTTGAAGGCCAGGGCCTACTGGGCCAGGAGGACCATTAGCACCTGAAATTTAAGAAAGAAAAAAAAATAAATACCAATGATTAACAAATTCAGTACCTGGTGGACCAGCAATACCGCTAACACCTGGAAGACCTGAGTTACCCTAAATTACCATAAATATGATTATAAATTTGAAAGTACTGTTTTTTTTTCTCAATATACTTACACGTTCACCTTTAGGTCCAACATAACCTGGTAAACCTGGTTGTCCGGGTTGACCTGGTGGACCATTTTCTCCTCGTGAACCGGGTGGACCTATTCATAAATACATAATTAATTTACAAAAAAAATTTCATACACATACCTGGTGGTCCTTGTAATCCTGGTGTGCCTTAAATTATAAAAATAAAAATGTGTAAAATAAAAATCATTGAAATCTAGTTTATTACCTGGAAATCCTGGTTGACCTCGATCACCTTGGAGACCTGGTGAACCGTGGGTTATTTGTGTTGGACCACAATCACCTCTTGGACCGGGTGCACCTATTTATTTGAATAAAACAAAAAACAATATAATTTTGTTTTTGAACACGAAAATAAATACTTTACCTGGTGAGCCGTTTGAACCGGGACGTCCATCAAAGCCACGATCACCTTTTGGTCCGGGAAGACCTGAAATCAAACATAAGAAATAAAACTTCTATTAGACATTTATCTGTGTACACATACCTGCACCACCTGGGAATCCAGGAACTCCTAAAATATAGAAACAAACCAATGATTATGTTTCATAATCATAATCATTATCTCACCTTTTTCTCCGGGTAAACCAGGTTGACCTGTAAATTTTCAAACAATAAAATATAAATATAATTTTCAATTAAGAACTTTTTTATTACAAACCTGGCATTCCAGCAAAACCACGTTCACCTAAAGATATAAATTATTCGTATAGTTCAATTATTATTGTAATAAACATACCTGGAAGACCTGGTGAACCACTTCTACCTGGAGCTCCATCAAATCCCTTACCACCTGGTAAGCCAGGAAGACCTGGAGCGCCCGGGAGACCTAAAATATTATTCAATATATAATTTTTTTTCGAAGACTTAACTATATTTTATACTAACCATCTTTGCCTGGTGCACCAGGAGCACCTATTAATAATAACAGAAGTGAATTCAATGGAAGAGAAAAACGAAAAAGAAAAAGATACATTACCTTGTAAACCTGGAGGGCCTGGAAGACCTGGTAAACCAGCTTCACCTTTCTAATTACATGAAGAATAAATATTTATTTATCTATTTAATCTATTTATTGACTTACTTGTCCAACAATAGGAGTACGACAATCTTGACCAGGAACACCAGGAGCTCCACTAAAACCTGGGTTTCTATAGAAAAAAAAATTAGACTTCAGATTTTTTTAAAATTCTTATTATTTAAACTTTACCCTTTCTCTCCCGGAAGGCCTGGCATACCTGTTTACCAAAAGAAGAAGACAGACAAACAAACACTTAAATCTTATTTCATTCAATTATCCTATGTTCTTACCATCACGACCACTTGAACCGGGTTCACCTTTTGGTCCAGGAGTAGCAAAACCTAAAGTCGAATATAATTAAATGAAATATGATTTTTATTTCGAATATTTACCTGGTTCACCCTTTTGACCTGGGAGACCTGGCATACCTATAATTCAAAAAGAACAAATCATTTCAAATTCTTCTCTTTTATCTATAAATCATATATACCATTATCTCCTACTGGACCAGGGGCACCATTTAATCCCGGTGGACCTATATAAATTCTAATGAGAAAACAACAATTTTTCTTTATTAATGGACACTTTACCATTTGAGCCTGGTAGACCTGGTAAACCTGATTCACCTGTAACAAAAATTTTCAAAAAATTCATTTCGATTTGAATTCGTTCTTAAAATACAAACCTTTTTGTCCTGGAAATCCATTGATGCCTGGAGAGCCTGCAGGGCCAGCAAGACCTGGTGCACCTGGAAAACCTATATAAAACATCATCGACAAAAAATTAGATATATACATCAATATTTATTTCATGAAAAAATTATTTACCTGCTAAACCTGGAGCACCTTTAGCTCCCGGAGCACCTATATCATATTGTAAAGAAGTGAGATCAATAAATTAGAAGAAATATTAAATGAACTTACCTGGAAATCCTGCTGCACCACGTTCACCTTTCGGACCTGGGTAACCAACACCACCGCTAGAACCTGATGGACCTGGTTCACCTTTGCTTCCCGGCATACCTTCAAATTTTAATAACTTTTAGAATGTTTAGATAATGATGTACTTATTTACCGTTCATGCCTGGTGGTCCATTCAAACCTAATAGAAAATATATATATTGTATTGGTCATAAATAATTAGGTTTAGGATTTTTTACCTGCTGGACCTGATTCTCCTTTTTGTCCAGGTAATCCATTGAATCCATTATCACCTATGAAGAATTATTGTTTTTCTTATTATGTTTTTAATTAATCATTTTAAATTACCTTTTAGTCCAATAGCACCAGGAAGTCCAGAAGCTCCTATAAAAATCCTTCGTTAAGTATTATATTACTAATTAGCTTGTTTATTTTACCTGGTAATCCTGAAGGACCTGGTAAACCCTATGAGAAGAAAAAAGATAAGAAAATCAACATTTAATAGTTTAATCATTTTTATTTACTCGTTCACCCGGTGCACCAGGTAATCCTAAAATACACAATAAGTATTTAAATTGTATGAATTTTTTTCTCTTACCATTGCCGCCTGGATATCCACGTTCACCAGGTGCTCCTGGTAAACCTGTTGGACCTGGAAGACCTGGTTCACCAATGGCACCTTTTATACCTAAATCAGGAGAGAAAAGCTTATTATAATCAAAATAAAAAAATTCTGATAGTTACCTGCTTGACCAATAGCTCGTTCACCTTTAGCACCTGGAACGCCCGGTAAACCATCTTTACCTGGTGCTCCTGGAAGACCTGGTGCGCCAGGAAGACCTGCTGGTCCACTAAAAACGAGAAAAAGAAAACATTGAAGAAAACAAAAACCATGTTTATATTTTACCGTTCTCCCGGTGTTCCACGTGCAGCTGGTATGCCCTATTAAATTTTTTGAACATAAAATTGAATATTTTCTTTATTTATAAACTTACTGGTTCTCCTTTGTGACCTGGTAGACCGGGTGAACCTGGAAAACCTCGGTCACCTCGTTGACCTGGAAGACATGCTGTGCATGATTGTCCTGGTGAACCAGGGAAACCTTTAAATAAAAAGAAATAAGATACACATTACTGTTAGACGAAAAAATAAATATCTTACCTCGGTCACCCTTTTGTCCTGAGCCACCCTGAAGAAAACAAATAAAACAGACAATGGAAGTAGCAAAATAGTATAATCATTTTACCGGAATGCCTGGTAATCCACTTGGTCCTGATGGTCCTGGAAAGCCTGGAACACCTTTTTCACCTGATAAACCTGGTGCTCCATTCAAGCCTGGTCCTCCATTCAAACCACGTTCACCTTTGGCACCTGGTAAGCCTGGCATGCCTGATTTTCCACTTGGTCCTCTGATGTTCATATAGACAAAAAAATAGTATCAATTGATAAAAATTCAATCAACTTACGGTAATCCAGCAAAACCTTTTTCTCCTGATAAACCTGGGGCGCCTGGTGGACCCATTGGTCCTGGAAGACCTTTAAATATGAACAAAAAACTTTATATTGTATTCAAATATTTTCCATATATGTACCTGGTAAGCCTATAAAAGAAAAACAAAGCATCATTTAGTTTAATAAATTAAGAAATATGTGTATGAAACTTACCATCAATACCCGAGAGACCTGATGGGCCTAATAAGAAAGAAAAAATAAATTATAAGGATCTAATTAAACAATTTTTGTTTCATTATTTTTTACCTTGATCACCTTTTTGTCCACCAAAACCTGGCTCTCCTCGTTCACTATAAATGAAATAAAATCAAATAATATTCATTGAAATTTTATAGATAGATACCCTTTCATGCCTACTGGCCCTGGAAGTCCGTTACTACCTGGAAAGCCTGATTCTCCTATAAATTATTAATAGGATTATTAAAAGATTTTCTTGTTTTTTTAAAAACCATAACATGTACCTTTAGTGCCTGGGAATCCAGTTTCACCAGCTGGGCCAGGTAAACCTATGAAAATTAAAGACATTCCTATGAGTATTTATCTTTTGAATTAGTATGAATTCATACCTGGAAATCCACGTTCACCGGGAGCACCAACAGGTCCTGGGGCTCCTGTAATAACAAATACTGTTAAAATGTTCTTCATATAAACACACTCATTTACCTGGAAAGCCTGGTCCTGGAAGTCCTGGTTCACCTTTTTCTCCTATAGAAGAGAAAAAAGAAAAATAGTAGAAATATTTTTCATCTGATATGTGAAAACATACCTGAACGGCCTGGTAAACCTGGTGCTCCATCTAAAAGGAACGATTATAAATAGATTACAAAAAAAATTTATCCAATTGATATTTACCGAATCCCTTAGGGCCTGAAAGACCTGGTGATCCATCACGACCGGGAAGACCTACACGAAAAAAATATTATTTCGTTTTTTCTCAATCATGAATGTTGAAAAGTAGAAACACACCTGGTTCGCCACGAAAACCTAAAATAAAAACATAACTCAAAATTAAAAATAAATATATTTATTTGTTGTCATACCTGTAATTCCCTTAGGTCCTGGGGCACCTGGAATACCTGATAGACCAGATTCACCTTTGAAGCCAGCTGCTCCTGGTAGGCCTGGTAAACCATTAGGGCCCTAGAAAAATTTTGATTGAATATATTGAATGAATGACTCTATCATAAACAGAAAAAGTTTTACTGGAAGTCCTGGCGCTCCTGGAAGACCTGCCAATCCACGATCACCTTTTTCACCTTGTTGACCTGGTCGAGCTGTGTAGTCTGAAATTGATGATCGACCTAAATAAAATAGAAAAATTGTAATATTTTGTTTTGCTGTCTAAAATGTATTCATACCTGGTTCACCCTTGTGACCTTGAGGACCTGGTGCACCCGGAATACCTGTTGAGAAGAAAAAAAGTAATATAAAGCTCAAATAAAAAGATTGATTCTACTCACCAACTGGACCTGGAATACCCTTTTCACCTTTTTCACCTGGAAGTGTAGCACCTGGTGGACCAATATCACCCATGGGACCTGGACTGCCTGGTGGACCTGGTTGGCCTGGATAACCAGCATCACCCTACGAAAAGATGATTTTATTTTGTTTGTTAATAATTTTATACAAATTGTATACCTTAGGTCCTACTGGACCCATTACACCTGGTTGACCATCACGACCACTATAACCTGATGCACCTGAAGACGCAAACAAAAAGTTTTGAAATAAGTCAAATTATTAAATGAGTCTTTACCTTTTTGTCCACGATCACCTTTCAAACCGGGAAGACCTATTAATAAACAAATATTCAAATAAATGAATTTCAATCATACATAATATTTCTGACCTGGTGTTCCTTTTTCTCCTGACATGCCTTGTACTGTTGAAACACGAGCTGCTTCACCCTATAACATAATATCTTAAGTATAATAGTTTCAGTCTTAATGAAACTTACTTTGTCTCCTTTAGCACCTGATTCACCATCCAAACCATTGCGACCCTAGTTTTAAAAACTTTTTTATAAATAAAAAAATATAAACTTCTGAAACTTACAGGAGCACCAGCTGCACCAATGTTACCAGGATAACCTTGTGGACCAACATCACCTCGATCACCTTTTTCTCCTGATGTACCACGTTGACCAGGTGTTCCTAAAGGTATCATAAAAGTATAAAAATATGTTCTTTTTTTTTCATTCAATATATATATGTTTATTTACCAGATTCGCCTGGATAGCCTGGTTCGCCTTTGCTACCTTTCAAACCATCACGAGTACCACAAGCACCATCAAGACCTAAGACAGTTATTGAATTTAATTAATATGTCTTTTTTTCATACTAAATAAAACTCACCTCGATCTCCTTTAGTTCCTTTCATACCAGCAACACCTTGAAAACCAGGGGCACCTGGACTACCTGGTGGACCCATTGCTAGAAAAAAAAGCCCACGACTTGTTATTTAAAAACACTAATTCATAAAGAAATACGTACGTCCTTGAGGGCCGGGAAAACCAACACCAGCTGTTGAATTACCAGGTAAACCAGGAAGACCACGTAGACCACGTTCACCTAGAAGGAACAAACAATTAATGTGTTTAATCATTGATCGATTGATTTTTACCTTTAGCTCCTGGAAGACCAGCTTGACCTGGATAACCATCGACACCTGGTGAACCAGGGGTTGAACGACCGGGCTCACCTAAAAACCACAATTTTATAAATAAAAAAAGACAAACAACTAACTCATTTATTTCTCTTACCTTTGGGACCTGGTTCACCTTTAGATCCACGATAACCTATAATGATTCAATTGATTTAATTAATGTAATATTCACTTTCGTTCGCTTGAACTAACCTTGTGGACCAGGAAATCCAGATGGACCGGGGTCACCTGAAATGTGATATATATACATTTAGAAAATCATTGTTTTTTTCAATTATTTATTTCCGTACCAGGTCGTCCACTATCTCCTGTAGCTCCTTTAATACCATCACGTCCAGCTGAAAGAAAAAGAAAATCAATCGAAATATATCTTAAGAAATGTAACACTTACGTTGACCAGCACTGCCAGGAGCTCCATCAAAACCACGATCACCTTTTGTACCTTGTGGGCCAGGTAAACCCTTTTAAAATTCATATAAATAAAATTTTAATTCATATAATGAATACTTACTGGGGCACCGGGAAAGCCTGGGGCACCTGGTGGACCTTAAAAAAAAACAAAGACATAATATTCAATCACTTTTTAAAAATCTCTTTTCATTTTTTTACCATATTCTCCTTTAGGTCCCTATAAAAATACAAACAAATAAATGTGTATTTAATAATTTGATATTTTAACTTACTGTTGGTCCTGGTTGTCCGGGTGCTACGCCATCAGTTTGATCCTATAAAAACAAGTATGGCAATAAAATATTTCATCATGAAAAACAAGAAGTCTAAACTTACAGTTAAACACATACCAGGCATACCAGGGAAACCACGATCACCTAACAAAAGAATGAAGATTTTTATCTTGTATTCAAATGAATTTAATCATACAAACCTTTTTCTCCTGGTAATCCATTTTGACCAGGTCTTCCTGGGCTACCCTATAAATTAATACGCAAAAAAGAATGTATATATATTTTTTTCTTCTATATTTAACAAATCACATACAGCTTGACCAGGATAACCGGGACTACCACGATCTCTGAAATAAATAAAAATCAAGGATAAAATATTCTGTAAAAATTAGATGGTCTTACCCTGCCTGACCAGGGAAACCAGCTTGACCAGGTGATCCAGTAGGACCCTATTGAAAAAGAAAATATAAGTAAAACCAAATTAATTGATAAAAATACTTACTCGTGGTCCAACAGGACCTGGTATACCCTTTTCACCGGGTAAACCTGTTGGTCCAGCAGAACCAGGAGCACCAGGATAACCAATCTCGCCAGATTCTCCTTTAGGACCCATAGCACCCTGTCAATAACAATGAATGTAAAAAAAAATACATATTAGTTTTTGTTTTTCAAATAAAAAAAATTTTTACTTTGGGACCAGTGGGACCAGTAACCGTGAATGGGACATAAGTGTTGTTACCTTGTGCTTCTTCCCAACGTGGAGGCGAATAGGGAGAAGATGAACCCTAAATGAATTTTAAGAATATAAATATTTGTTATAATCTTCATATTTACTGGCTCTCCTTTTTGACCTTTTTCACCACTAAATCCAGCACCGGGACTTCCTAAACAAGTCAATAGAAAATATAAATATCAATTAAATCTTCGTTGCATCGTACCTGGAAGACCTGACTCACCACGATCACCTTTTTGACCCTAGAAAAATCCATTTTCATAATACAACAAATAAACAAACATCATCTCGTTACTTACTCCACGACCAGGAAAACCAACCGAGCCTGGTGTTCCGGGAATACCAGAATTTCCAGCAGGGCCCTAGAAAATAAAACAATATTAATGATGAAATACTTAGGAATTAATAAAGACTTACAGCAGCACCGGGAAGACCGGGAGCTCCTGGTGGTCCCTAAAAATTAAATATTATACGTTTATATCAATGGAAAATATATTTTTTCTTTTGTATGCTTACAATTTCGCCTTTGAATCCAGGTAAAGCTTGTGCAGGTTCACCTATTCAACAAAAACAAAATGATGCATTTTCATTAAAATAATTGTTTCATACCTTTGGGACCACGTGGACCAGGAAGACCTGAAATATAAAGAAGAAAAAAACATTAAACATTAGAAAAAACATAAATTAATTAATTGTGCCAATATACGCACCAGGTTCACCGGGACGACCGGCCTATATAAATAATTAATTAGAATTTTCTCAGTGTTGAAAACAAAATCAATATATTTTACCTGTCCACCATATCCACCTCGGCCAGGTTCTCCCTATAATAATATAATGATATAAAACCTAATTGTACAATTATTAAATTTTACTTTAGTTCCATTACATCCATCACGGCCAGGTAAACCTGAAAAAGTTAAATGTTCATTTTTATCTTTTCTCTCTTAGATATTCATTATTTACCGTTTGGCCCCTAAAATAAAACAAGAAAAATATTATATACATATATATATGATATTATAGTAATCTATAGACTCACTCTTGGGCCTGGAAGACCGGGCAAACCGGGATGACCTAAACAAAAGATATTTGCATAGAATTAAAAAGAACAAAAATGAAATAGTATTTCCGTGTTCATACCGGGCATGCCTGGTTCACCGGATCGTCCCTATTTATTGAAAAAAAGATAATTATAAATAATTTATTTCATACAAAAAAAAACAACGATACTTACTCTATCACCTTTTTGACCGGGTAAACCTGGTAAACCTCGTTCACCTTTTTCTCCTTTCAAACCCTCAGGTCCTACAAATCAAATATAATAAAATTTCTATTCATATTATAAAATGCACAAATAATATACCTTCAGGACCAGAAACGCCATTTAATCCTCGAGAACCAGGTTGTCCCATTGGGCCAGATGGACCCTAAATATATTAATTACATAGTATAACAGTATCTTTCATAGTTATTTTATCTGCATACCTGATCTCCTTTTTGTGCTATACAAAAACATGGTTGATTACAATTGTCACAATTGCTACCATTGCCATTTCGTGGAGGTTGATATTGGGCTGAACCATAGCCGGGTGCAAATGCATAGCCAGGTGGTGGTGTTACCGGACGAGAATCGGGGTACTAAAAAATTAAACAAATATATTTATGTATACATTAATTGAGTTTATTTCTTCTTCTAGACGGCTTCAGATATTTTCTGTAACTAGTATTTTTTGTGTTCATTGTCTTGAAACATTTATTTTTTCATTGTTCAATTCATAGAACATTTACATTAATACTTATAAAATGTTTATTACTATTACTGTTAATCTTAAATGATTGGTTTATAAATCCGTGTAAGTACATGAACATACCCTTTGTTGACCATTGCTTGAGTCAATGAAAATGGCGAGGATAAGTACGATTAAAATGGAAGCATAGTTTAGCCTAAAAAAGAAAATGATTCAATTGATTTCACACATATAGGAAATATTTCTGTTTGTATTTTAATGAAGATTAATATAAAAAAATAGATCTATGTTTGTCTATATGTATATCTTTAAAGTATCGTTCGATATTTTTTCATTTAATGGTATTTATCTATTAGGTAAATCAATAAAATAATATACATAGATACATATACCAGTACAATAATATAATGTATATAATATCGAATGACCAATGATCAACATAACTTACTTAGGAATATTCAAGGATAGCCATTTATCATTAATGTTTATTGTTGGAAACATTAAGTATGCGGTTTTAAGAATGGCTTATAGAAAGAGAAGAACTTGTGCGGTATATATTTTCTATATATTTCTTTAGCTGTTGTATGTTAAACGGTTCGATGACGACAGTTTGTTTACTGTTTGTTACAGAAGCGATAAAGTCCTTCTGTTTTCTTGCTGTCTTCTGGTACTATCGTCATAGACATCGGAGCATAATGTCCTTCGTACCATTGCTGTTTGCTATCGTACTGCGATAATTAATAATTCTCGAATAGTGTACAGGAAAGAGGAAGAACTACGTAGTATGATTGTACAAGACGACAGTAGACTCATATAGAACGATGAAAGCGGACCGATGAGAGCAAAGCAATCAAAAAAACAGGAGAAAGAAAAAGAAAATGATAAGCCAAGGATTTATGATGTGATCTCAATAATCTATTAGCAAGAAAGAAAGGAAGACAAACTACTAAGGACGAACAACATAATATTTCCGCCTAATATCACCAAAAGCATCGAGAAGAGAAAAAGAAATTCAACTAGTGACAAAGGATACGATGGATAATTAAGAAAGATGTTGAGTTATTCATCCAGACGTGGGATAAAATGTTTTTTTGCTGTTGTTGTTATTATTAGATTGTCTGATATAAATTTGATGTCCTTCTCTTGTCTCTTATAGCGCTCTTATTTTGTGGTCATCACACACAAGAAACCTTGCCTGCTTCTATTTCACCTTGTATGCTTATTATAAAGAAAAAAAAATGTCTAGAATGAGTTATTTTTTGTAATATACACATTCACTGTTGGAGTTACTGACAATAACATGAAAATGACAAAGACGAAATGTAGACAAAAGATAACTTAATACTTTTTATGCAACATACAATATGAAAATAATGCTCAACGCTATAATTGCCTATATGTGTTTTGTGGCAATAACAATATGTCTGATATAATCATAAACGTAAAACTCTGACAAAATAATCTATTAATAAAAAGAAATGAGGAGACTACTAGTGAACTGTTTGTTGGTACAGTGGTCTCGTTCTTAAGTCTATCGTTAAATAAATGTATAAGTACTTTTTTTAATTTTAAATATCTCTTTCTTTTTCAACAAAAAAAAAAGAACATTCAATTGCTTACCTTATAGTCCAAGCATTGGACGACTTTGAAATGTTTGTAGTTGAATGCATGTTTATACTTGCTGCCAAGAGTCACGCGCAATTTTGCAGCGGCGACGGACAGTTAAAAGTTATGTCCTGTCGTCGTCGAATGGTCTGTAACAAGCGAATAAAGACCGAACGCGAGGAAGCGCAGAAAAAAAATGCCAGCGTCACAAAAACTGGACTATTTTTTTCTTTAGTACAAGAATACAAATTCCCTTACCACAATCAGAGAGAGAGAGAGAGAGAGAGGGGGAGACGGGGTAAAAAGAAGAAATGAGAGAGTCGAAGAGGGGTGACACTCAAATCCACCAACCAGAAAAACGCGGTTTTCTTATTCCATTTCTGTTGATGAAAGATGAAAGATGAATATTGACTATATATTACTAATTCTGTTGTTTCTGTAGAGTACTAGAACTGATAACATATATAATACTGCATACAAATATACACAAGACATATTTTTTTTCTCCTAAGAGAAAGATATTCGCCCCGCATAATTTGTTCCCAAGATGATTGTCGTCGACTTTTCTTATTGCTCGTACTGTTGTTGTCGTCTGCCGTAAATAGACACAAAAAAATAGAAAAAAAAATCGAGAAAGAGAAGGGGAAAAAGCAAAAAAAATACATGTTGGAAAGCTCGAACTTGTTTTTTTTCGGGCGGGTTACTGTCCTTTTAGTAGTACTGCGGTTATTAACTAACCAAGAGAACTGAACACATTTTTTCATCGTATAAACGTATCAAAAGCCAAATTTTGTGTCAAAGTTTTCTTTTTTGAATTTGGTATGGTAAGATAAAATATTTAAGAAGAACTTTTTATTTAGTATTTCAGATAGATTGAAATCTTAAATATTCGTGAGCCGTGTCTGTGTTCGCGCGCGCACGATGGCTTCTTTATTGAGGCCGATTATCATCGGTTTTATTTTATTTTTGACAATTGTTAATCAAATTGAAACACGAACGGTGAGACTTAGTATTAATTAGTTATTAATTTCTATTCACTTTATCGTAATTTCAGGCACAAAATGATGATGATGATGATTCGGATGTCAGAGTAAAAAGACAAATTAATAGATTTAATAGACTTCCATCAAGACCAACTCGATCGGAAAATGATGAAGATACATATATTCAAGGTTCAGAATGTAAAGGTTGTGGACCACGACGTGATTGTCAATGTCCTGGCAAGGGTGCTATGGGCATCTCTGGTACGTTGATAGTTTTTTTTCATAATAAAGAAAAAAAAATAAATATTTTTTTTTTTTTATACATTATTTATTTATTTGTAATGTCTTTTATAGGTCCACCAGGCTTTCCAGGTGTTCCAGGTGACCGTGGCTTGAAAGGTCCTGCAGGACAACAAGGCGCTCAAGGTCTTTCTGGTGAAAAAGGTGATCGTGGTCTTTATGGTACCAAAGGCGAACGAGTAAATTTCATTAATTTATTTTTATTATTTTTATTTGTTTGTTCTTTTTTCTTTCATCAACACTTAGGGTGATGATGGTTTATTGCCCATTGATGGTCAAAATGGTTTTCCTGGACAACCTGGTGCTATGGGTCCACGCGGTATTCCCGGTGTTCCAGGATGCAATGGTAGCAAGGTAAATAAAAAAACATTGCAATATACATTCGATAGCACGTCCCTGTGTACGTATTTACTACAGATATGAGAAGGCGGATAGTCTTTTTTTTTTCTTCTTCGCCATCTTGATTAGATAAGCACTAATCGTACATAAATCAAGGATGATGCATCACAAGACATATCAACACATAAGAAAAATATGCTAGAACGACATTTGTTTTTCTTATTTTTCTATATAGACACATAAGGAAAAAAAAGCAAATCCATAGCCTTGATAAGAAGTGCTATATGTGAAGATAAATGAAACCGCATATGTGTTTGGATTTATCGCATATTCTATCTTAAGTTCCAGACGTCCTAATTAACTGATTTAGTCTTTGTGCATTAGACCTTGCAGATTTCCTCCATATGGATTGATAAATAAGTAGAAAAAACGATGATTATATAAACAAATAACTACGTAGGATGTTTTTTTTGTCTTTGTATGTCTGTCTCTCGCCCTTGATGGTTTATTGCGGTTAAATGGATTATTCATGCACGTAGATACATATATATGGTTAGACAATTATTGAAGGAAAATGAGATGATTAACGATAAACAACAGCTGTCGAAACGTTTTAGCTCGTGATTAATAAAAAAAACGAAGTTCCACCTACGCATCTTTGCAGTAGCTGAATAATCAGATACTCGTTAATAATGATAACGTCATCAAACGAATAAAAAAAAGAGTTAAACTATTTTTGGAATCGAAATATTCATCAATGATTCATTTGATAAGACATTCTTTTGAATATCTACGAATATTTCTACCTACACAACAATCATATCTTATTGTCATCTACACTAATCTACATGTCATTGCCAGTTACTGTTGTTTATGATTGATAGCATAACAAGCGCATATTAAGCTTACAACATAATAGAAGCTTAGAAAATATCAACAATATTTTCTTAGATATCAAGGTCCAGTTGTTATGACGCAGAAAGATTGATGAATTTTGTTATTAGTTCTATTTATGTCTCTGTACACCTATCACGCATGTATATCGAAAAAAATACTATATGGCCGATTGTTACTGACATTTGAAGGGCTTTATCTATCAGCAGAACGTTTTGTCCTTGAGTAATATGTAAAAATAGACAAAATACAGAAAATGATATATTAATAGTATTATTCATCTATTGGTCTCAAGAGAACAAATAAAACATTGAAAGAAAAAAAAAATCTATCTGAATTAGCGTATGTTTTAATTTTAGGGTCAACCTGGTGATGATGGAGACGTTATTGTAAATGGTATGCCGGGTCCCCCCGGTACACCCGGTCGAATGGGTGAACCAGTAAGATATGCTATATCATTTTTTTTCTTAAAGCAACAAATCATAATGATATCGATTAGGGTGAACCAGGCGAAACAACAGGTCTTAATGGTGTCATACTTGGACCACGCGGGGATCCAGGTTTTCCTGGTCCTCCAGGTGTTGCTGTGAGTATAATTTGAAGAAAAACGGTATTGCTCTATGAATTTATTGATAGGGATGGCCCGGTCCATCTGGTTCTCCCGGTACACCAGGTTCAGTGGGATTTCCCGGACCAGATGTAAGTTTTATATTCTCTTTTGTGACATAATCTTCATTAATTCTTTTAATTTCAGGGTCCACCTGGTTTAAGAGGAGATCCAGGATTACCAGGATCAAGTGGTCCTGCAAGTTATGGTATCAAAGGTAAAGAAAACTATTATCCTTGAAAACAATATAAGATTTAATATTTATTCTATTTTTTTAAGGTGGACGTGGTGAGCCAGGTATGGAAAAAAGTCAAATGAAAAGATGTTTTGCTAAAAAGATGTTGTTGATATTTAGGTGATAATGCTCCTACACCAGTGGATCCAGTTCCATATGGTCAAATGCGAGGTATGAATATTTCTTAGATTAACTATATAAAAAAAAACATATGGGGGAAAAAATTATTACCGGTTGAACTCAGACCAGATTCGAGTGAAATTTTGCGTTTCTATCTTTTTTTGCTTGTTCATTGCTATGATATCCTTACTTGGATTTAATAGGTCGCATGTGTGGAAAGAGACCCTGTAAGTATTCATATGTATAAGACAATAATAAAGCTTTACCTTTCCATGCTTTTTCGATAGAGAACTAAGATGAAAGGGGCGGACGCGAACGTATTATTTTACTATAAATCCAATAAAAAATAACGTTCGCATGTTCTCAGCTTTTTTTTTATTATTTTTACCACTATTGTTATTATTATTACACACATTTTTTAAAATGAGCTTTATAGCGATACCCAGGGAGCAGTCGACTCAGACACAACCGACATTTTTTTTCTGCGGTTCTTATTCACTATCAGCTTGAGTTTTTTTTATCAAATAATAACCTTATTAATTTCATTGAGAATAAAACGATATATATTATTTCAAAGGTATTACAAATGTGGAAGGACCACCAGGTCCACGTGGACCAGATGGTGATCGTGGTTATAAAGGAGAACGTGGTCAGCAAGGCTATTATGTATGTAAAATTATTCAGTAATTTTTCAAACAAGAAATATGTCTTCTCGTATGTTTGTAGGGTATCAATGGTTTACAAGGATCTAAAGGAGAAAAAGGTGAATATGGTTCATCTGGTCCACAAGTAAATTTAATGATAGAGAATTTTTATATATTTATTTGTCTTATAAAAAAAAATAGGGTAAATTTGGTAAAGAAGGTCCACAAGGCTCATTTGGTGTCAAAGGAATGACAGGTTTGTTATTATTATTGTAAAGCGTTTTTTTGTTAAATTTTTCTATTTTTTCTTTCTGTCTTCTAGGACCACCGGGTCCATCTGGAGCTGATGGTCTTCCTGGCGGTAAGTCAATTAATTAAAGAAAGATTATGGTAATATCATGCTGCCGTTTTTTTATCTTGCAGAACCTGGCAGAAATGGATATCCTGGTCCCAAAGGTCAACGTGGTGACGTTGGTGAGCAAGGTCCAAATGTAAGAAACGAATTTTTTCTTTTCTTATTTTCTTATTTTCTTTTTGTGTAGACTTATGGTGCTAAACGAGCTCGACCACTTCCTGGGCCACAAGGTTATCCGGTATATATACAATATTTACTGTTTGAATTGAAGGTCTTTTTTCGAATAATTGTATTTCTAGGGAATGACAGGTGATTCTGGACCAACTGGATTAGCAGGAGTTCCTGGTTTACCTGGTAAACAATCGAATAATGATTAATCAGTACAATTATATGATTTTGATTTATAGGTCTTGATGGTATGAAAGGTGAAAGAGGTGATTATGGTTCGCCTGGCCGACCTGGTCCTATGGGAGAAACAGCTGATGCAGAAAAGGGTGATCGCGGTGTTGATGGTATGGAATAAGTTGTTCACCTTTTTTCTGTTCTTATATTATTTTTTTTCTTTTGCGTCATTTAGGTCTACCTGGTCCTTCTGGACTACCCGGTGCTGCTGGTAATATTGAATTTTTGTTTTCTTTTTACATATAAACATTTGATTAAATTAGGTACGCCCGGTGAAAAGGGTACTATTGGTGAAAAAGGCTTACCTGGTGAAGACACATACGGTATATATTTCTTTTCTTTTCTTTTTTCAAAAAATTAAACATTTCTATATAGGACCACGTGGAGTTAATGGTCTTCCGGGTCGTACTGGATGTAAGTTAATTTTGTTTTTCGAATCTAAAACACATGAGTAATGTATTGACTTCTTTAGATCCCGGTTTGATTGGAACATCAGGTGATATCGGTGAACAAGGTCCACCAGGTAAATATTGTTTTAGATCGATCTATTAATAAAAATTATATTTTCCTTTTATGTAAGGTCCTCCTGCTGAACCAGGTTTTAAAGGATATCAAGGTGAGATATTCGCATATTTTTTTTTTATGAATTATATTCTAATGTATAATTTCTGTTTTTAGGATATGGTCCATCTGGTCCACAAGGGTGAATAATGGCTTTTTGCTAAATATTATTTTACATTATGTTTTCGTGTTATAGATATCCCGGTCGACCAGGTCAACCCGGTACACCTGGCTATCCTGGTATGTAATTCGTCTTTGTTTCTTTTTTGCCGAGATTTTCTAACAAAAAAGAACACGTTTTGTCGTTTAGGTGTTCCTGGACACAAAGGTGATCTTGGTAAGTATATCGGGAGAGAATGCAAGACAATTTATTTTGTTTTGTGTATTTTTTAAGGTGAACCTGGTGGTTGTGGATTTTGTCCACCTGCTGTTGCTGGTCTTCAAGGTGATCGTGGTAGCCAAGGTTATCGTGGACGACCAGGTGTAAGTATTCGTTAAATGATATATTTTATCATCACTATTGTCTTTATTTATTTCTAGTTAAATGGTGCACCCGGTTTTCGAGGTAATTGTCAAATTTTCTCTATCTTCCAAAAGATATAGTTATATTTTTTACTCAGGTGAAAAAGGTGATACTGGACCGATTGGACAACCTGGATCTAATGGTTTACATGGACCGGATGTAAGTAATTAGTTCTTTAAAACAAAAAGTGATAGTGCATTTTCTCTGAAATTGAAATGTAAAACACAGTGTAACTGTTGTTGCTGATCACAGAGAGATTGTTTTATTCTATCTATTTTGGAACATATTTCTTTAACCTTCTTTTACTTACTCCTTCAGAAAGGCAAAAAGCAAGTAGTTAATATATTGTAACTAGTTGCTATTGATATTAGTTCTGTGGGAGAGTACACATTTTTACCCTACATACTTCAACATTTCTTTTCGATCGTGTTTAATAAGTCGAAATTTTTAATTTATTTAAGGGAATTCCGGGTCGAAATGGTTATTCAGGTATTCCAGGGCGTAAAGGTGAACCTGGTGAAATGATCGGTGCTGATGGTATTAAAGGTAAATATGAATATTTAAAAAGTTTATTTTATTTAATATTTTGAATATAGGCCGTCGAGGAGCAAATGGTGAACCTGGAGTTAAAGGTTATCATGGTGACGTTGGTGAAACTGGTGTCAATGGACGTGATGGGTATGATTTTGATTAAGAAAAACAATAATTAGATTTTTACTCGTTGAATTTTAGTTATGACGGTGCTCCTGGTGCCTCTGGGCCACGAGTATATTTTAGATGTTATTAGTTTTCTTTTTATAGAAAACTGTCTTGTTTTTTTACAGGGTGCTTGGGGTGATATTGGACGAGCAGGAACTCAGGGTATTTCAGGACCGAAAGGTAAATTATATAATGTTTATATAAAAGCACAACAATGCTTAATTTTATTTTTAAAATTTATTAATAGGCCCACGAGGTCCATCTGGACCACCAGGACAATTATTTGCAAGTGGACCACGTGGTGACGGAGGTGACCAAGGTCCACCAGGCAAAACTGGTCGACCTGGCCTTCCTGGTATACCTGGTGATGATGCACCACCACCACGGATAACAGCTGGTTCACGCGGTATTAAAGGCCTTCCTGGAGATGATGGGTAAAATTTTATATTTGCCAACAATTAGCATAATTTTATACTTTTTTTTCGCTTTCTTCTAGTTATTCTGGTATGCCTGGTAAGTAATAGAATGAAATCTTCTTCGAGAAATTTTATCAATATTTAAAATATAAATAAGGTGCTCCTGGTTTACCTGGACGAGATGGTTCTCCTGGTGCTAGTGGTATGCCTGGTCCAAAGGTGAAGATATAATTAATTATTTTGAATTTTCAGATAAACAAAATATGTTTGTATATATTTAGGGTGAAGATGGTCGACCTGGTCTTCCCGGATTACCAGGTTTGTTGAATTAATTATATTCAATATCATAAAGTATATAATCTTTCTTTTTAGGCGAACATGGTGTTAAAGGTAGATTAGAAACAAGTTTGTCAGTTTTTTTTCTTCTAATAATTTTATATAGGTTATCCTGGTCTCGATGGACGACCTGGTCTTGATGGACGGTAGGAAAATTTCTTTTTATGTTTATTTATATTTTCCGTTATTCTTATTCTTTAGACCTGGTGCTCCTGGAATAAGTGGATTATCTGGTGCACCTGGCTTACCTGGCGCTAAAGTAAATCTCATAGAATAATCTTTATCATGATTTATATGTTCGTTGTTTGTATATAGGGTCAACGAGGTGAACCTGCTATTGCAACAATTGCTGGACCACAAGGTTTTCCAGGTCCAAAGGGTGTTACTGGTGAACGTGGTTTACCTGGTTTATTAGGATCACGTAAGTTATTGGCAAATTTAAATAAACTTATGTTGAAATAACTTATCGTTGTAGGTGGTTTACCTGGTGGACGTGGTTTACCTGGCATGCCAGGTGAGTTAATAATATGCTAACGGATTTTTTTCTTATGTTTTGGTTTTGTTTATAGGTGTAAATGGTCTTCCGGGACAACCTGGTCTACAAGGACCTAAAGGAGAAAGAGGTATGTAAATTATATATATTTAAAAATGTATACATTTGAATTTTTTGTAGGTGGTACAGCACCCGGTTTATACGGTGACGTTGGTCTCCCTGGTGCTCGTGGTCGAGCTGGATGTAAATACTTTCTATAGAATTTTTATTTATATAGCTGATTTTTGTCTCGTTTAGCTCCTGGAAGAGCTGGAGCTCCAGGTAATCATGGTCCATCTGGTCTTCGTGGTTTACCTGGTGATATGGTATGTCTTTAAATGAAATAAACGAAATCTTAACATGTATATCTTAATAAATAGGGTTTTCCTGGTTCAGATGGTTCACCAGGTTTTCCAGGTCAACCAGGCCCACGTATGTATATATGTTATTCGATTTAATTTTATGTATTGAATACTTTTTTTTCGTTTATAAAAATAGGTGGTGACAATGGAGGCCCTGGATATCCTGGTTTGATTGGAATGAAAGGTGAGTTTTTACTTTTATTTTTTCTGTTTATACTATTTAATTCATTGGTTTTCTTTTCTTTTAAAGGCCGCCCTGGTATTCCTGGTGAACGTAAGTGAAAATATAGTTTTGTTTTAGAAAATGATTCCAATCTGGAAAATTACGTTTAGGTGGATTACCCGGCGGTCCTGGCCCCAATGGTTTTCCAGGTTTACCAGGTCCTAAAGGATATCACGGTAAATTCTTTTTTAAATGAATTTATTTTCACTGAATATCTTTTTTTTTAATTTTGTTATGTAGGTGATGTTGGAGAACCAGGTATTGGTGGTGGTCAAAGTGCACCCGGTCGAAAAGGAGAAATAGGTAAATACGTATTAATAAAGCAGAAACGTAGGATTATTTTTATATTGTAGGAGAACCTGGTGAATCAGGTATGCCGGGTCTCAAAGGTCTTCCAGGCGACTCTGGTGCAAGTATGTATACAACAATCGAGAGAGAAAAACATGTTAAATGTAACCGTGTATTGTTTATGTTATAGCTGGTTTCCATGGACCTCGAGGTGAAGCTGGGTAGGCGAAAGATTATATAAAAAGTTTGATTATACATTAACTTTCTTTGTCTTGTTCTAGGCCTCCTGGTTTTGCTGGTGCTCCTGGTTTACCTGGTCGTGATGGTAAGTTATTCAGTTTATGAGTGGCTCCCCTATTTTATTTTTCTACAACAATCATTTCTTGTAGGACGCCCCGGTTTGCCAGGTTTCAAAGGTGAAATGGGTGATTGGTACAAAGGCGTTACTGGTAAATTTGTAGTGATTAAAAACTATATATTATATATGTTTAATATTTCCTATAGGTATACGAGGTGAACCTGGTTTCCCTGGTCTTCCTGGCCTTCCAGGTGCCCCAGGTTTACGAGGAATTGTAAGTATAAATTTAGTTCTTATCTTCAGAAATTGTGGAACTACACAATTGTTGTTTATTTTTAGCCTGGTTCATCTGGTTCTAGTGGACCACGAGGACAACCAGGTCTTGTTGGATTTCCAGGTAAAGTGTTAAAATTGAACTCAGTCATTGATGATGTTATATTTGTTTTTGATAGGTTTACCCGGTCTAGCAGGTGCCCCTGGACTATCTGGACCGAAAGGAAAGGCAGGAGAAAGTGGTATGTATATTGATTTAAGTGAACAGTAATCATTGTCGATATTTTACATATAGGCTATCCGGGAGTTGCTGGACTACCTGGCGATCGCGTAAGTTTCAAAAATAAATTTGTGTTGAGTATGTGTTTGGAGCCTTTCTTTTTTTTCTATGTCTAGGGTTTGCCTGGCCGTTCTGGTCCACCTGGTCTTCCTGGTTTTAGAGGAATGGCTGGAGAACCAGGTCGACCTGGACAAGCTCTTGAAATGGGTAATTAAAATGAAATGGAAATTTTTCTCTTAAATTTAACAATAATCTTATGATTTCAGGAAGAAAAGGAGAACAAGGTGATGCTGGTACACCTGGAATACCAGGACTTGCTGGAGCAGTTGGTGAAGCTGGTATGTATCACATGATATTTCCTTTTGTTTTTAATTTTATATTTGTCAATTGTCTATTATAGGTCTTCCGGTAAGTTCATTATTGATAAACAGGAGTATTATTTTTGGTCATATTATTAAAGGGTGCTCCAGGCCTTCCCGGTGCACAGGGATCAGCAGGTAGGATAGTTAAAGGAATTACTATGTATGTGATCGATTATTTTGCTTATTGACTTTTAGGTCGTGATGGATACCCCGGCGCACGAGGAGAAAGAGGCTTACCTGGTATTCCAGGCAAAACAGGACGACAGGGTGCGTTATTATTAAAAACATTAATTCTATGGCATTTTCTGTCTCATTTTAGGTCCACCTGGATATCCAGGAACTAAAGGAAATGCTGGATTATCGGGACGTCCTGGTATGAAAGGTGCACACGGTGAAAATGGTATGTAAAACATATTTCATTATTGAATTGATTTCATATAATCGTGCGGTATTCTGTTCGATTTCAGGTGGTCGTTCATTACCTGGTCTTCGTGGTGATTCAGGACGTGACGGTATTTCTGGTCGACCTGGTCTTAAGTAAGTTTTATGACATCATACTATGTTTAACTCACTATCTTTTTTTTTATTCTAGAGGACCGTCAGGTGATGTTGGTCGACCGGGTCCACCAGGTCGTGATGGTATGTCATTTTTTTATCCTCTATATTTATGTCGTCTTATTAAAATCAAAAATTTGGTAACCTTCAGGTATAGGATCAATTGGTGGACGAGGTCAACCAGGAGATCGTGGTCAAGATGGTTTACCTGGTCGAGCAGGTTCACCAGGATTTCCTGGAAGAGATGGTAAACCAGGCTTAGTTGGTCCACCCGGTACGACTATAAATTTCATATTTCCGATAATAATTTATTAATATTTAGGTTTACCGGGTTCTCTCAGCGCAAGTGGTCTTCCTGGTATTCCAGGTGCTCCAGGTCCAAAAGGATTACCGGTAAAAAAAATTGATGTTTTATTTGATTAAGTAATAATTCATTTTATAAAGGGTCAACCAGGACCGATTGGAAATCCAGGTCTTCCTGGCAGACGAGGCGAACCAGGCACAAATGGTAAGCCTTATTTTTTATTTAAAAGACATAAATTGTATTGAAATTTGTCTGCTTTTCCAAGGAGCTCCTGGATATTCGGGTGCTAAAGGAGCAATGGGTGATGCCGGTTAGTTTTATTATCATGTTTTTGTAATACATTCAATTAAATTTAATTTGATTTATAGGTTTACCAGGTGCTGATGGACGTCCAGGTTTACCAGGTCCAAAAGGAGAAACATTTTATGCACCGGTAAAAAACTTTTTTTTTCTTATTAAAAGAATAATTGTTTTTTTTATAGGTTGATATAAAACCAGGTCCTAAAGGCCAACGCGGTGATCAAGGATTACCTGGTTAGCAAATAGATTATATTAAAAATTATTCAATATCCATATACGATTTGTTTTTAGGTGCTCCTGGACTACCAGGTCCAATAGGTCTTCCGGGACCAAAAGGCTTTTCAGGTCAAGTTGGTCTTCCGGGACGTCCAGGTAAATGACAAATTCATAGAAAACAAAATGCAATTAATGACTGTTTCATTTGTTTTCTTATAGGCAGTCCAGGTTCGTTAGGTGCTCGTGGTCCAGTTGGTGATAGTGGTTATCCTGGACCGTAAGTTGTAATATTTGTTTATGATATATGTGAATTTCGTTCTTTTTAGAGCTGGTTTACATGGTCCACCCGGTCCTCCAGGTAAGTTTTAAAGCAGGAGGCTCTCCCAAAAAAAAAAATTTTTTGTTGTTGCGCATCCAGTTACGAAGAGTTAGCTTAAGACTATGGGTCACAATATAGATGTTCGTGCATATCAAATTTCTTCGCCATTTTAAGTACTAGAAAGCTTGGAGTTGATTTTGAAATGTAGTCAAGATGTGGCTCTACAACTGAGTTGTGGAGGTAATTTTTGCCTTCATTTTGGCATCAACTACAGCTTTCTAGCGATTACAATAGTGGAGCGTCAAAACTGAGTAATGTATACAGTGGGTTAGTCACTGAATTTCAAAAATCGGGAAAAAGTACGTTGATTCTTCGCAGCGAGGATGTGAATGAAGAAATGACACAGACCAGAGTAGATACATTGCTCTATTAAGTTACAAAATTAATTTTTTTCTGAGGAAAAGAGCTCCTTTAAACGAAATAATAAATATAAATTTATTCTTTTTTTTTCTTGTAAACAGGGGCTGTTGGACTTCCAGGTTATCCAGGTGAAGCTGGCGACGGCTCATTCATCTTTGCACGGTATATGATAATCAAGTTAAAATTAATTAATTAACGTTGATTTTATTTCTAGACATAGCCAAGATACTACAACTCCACAATGCCCACATGGAACAAATAGATTACAAGATGGTGGTTATTCATTTATGGGTATTCAAGGTGATACATATGCAGCCCATCAAGATCTTGGTAAAATCTCTATAGATAAAAAAGAAAACAAGCCTACAGATTCTTATTTAAATTGTTTTTTCTTTTAAAATAGGTTCTTCGGGTAGTTGTTTACGTCGTTTTAGTGCAATGCCATTTTTATTTTGTGATATTGGTAATTCATGTCATTATGCTTCACGTAATGATTATTCATATTGGTTATCAACAAATGAACCAATGTCAGCAAGTATGTCACCATTTGAAACGCGTGATATACCAAGTCATTTAAGTCGTTGTGTTGTTTGTGAATCATCATCGCCTGTATTTGCAATTCATAGTCAATCACAACGTGTACCAACATGTCCCGATGGATATGATCTCTTATGGACTGGTTATAGTTTTGTATTTACATCAGCTGATGGTGGTCGTGGTGATCAACAAAGTTTACAATCACCTGGTTCATGTCTTGAAAAATATCATGATCGACCATATTTTCATTGCAAAGATCATTCACATTGCAATTATTATCCAAACATGATGACATTTTATTTAGCTACATTAGATGATTATACTGGCTTTGAAAAACCAAAAGTACGTACATTAAAAGCTGGTACACAACGACAATATGTTAGTCGATGTGCTGTATGTCATGCAAATTTATTTAAACAAACAACCAGTGGACCATCAGCATTTTTTGCCCAAGTAAAGAAACTTTAAAAACATAAAGAGACTATTTTTTTCCATGTGTGTCACTTGGACATATATGTTATACCGCTCTCTCGCTCTCTCTTTCTTTCTTTTTTTCTCTTTTTCTCTCTTATTTGCACTTTAACTTTTTGAACTTTATAACAATGAGATGAGTTTTAATTCTTTTTTTATTGCTCTTCATATGTATGTGTGACGTATGGTAGATTTAACTTGTGTGTTTGCTATATTACTTTTCTTTTCTTTTTGTCGTTTATCTAGTCATTAACAATAAAATACTCAAACATCAGAGACACACATATTATAAATATTTCGTTTTTACAAATTTCTTATCAAAACAAGGAGTTACAATAGAATTCTAATAATTTCTTTCTTGTAAATCGTGTGCTATAATAGATACTTAAGATTGAAGAATTTGCTTGAATATTGGAAATTCTCTCATGTGTAAAAGTAAATTTTATTCATCTATTTACTCATAGCTTTTTGTTGAAAAATCCAGTACAACTTCAATATGTCAAGAACAATGTCTGTCATCTTAATGGAAAGTATTTTTTTCCAGCGAGAGTAGAAAAATCTACGGAATAAATCGTAGTGCACTTGCTCTATCGTTCTATACGAAACACTTTATTCTAACAGTTTGTCGATTGGAAAAAGTATGCATACCTTCTCAATAAAGAATTTTCTAAAAAGTTGTGTTCAATGTAATCGATGTTCCTTGTTTTGAATCATGGTCATACATTGTATGCTTCGTTGCCGAAAAAGTTCACAGTAAAAACAACGAATATATATATACATGTTTTAAGAAGGACGATAATGATAAGTAAATATGAATTAGTCAAATATTAATTTTCTTGATCGCCTAATGAAATATTGGTTATCATGTTGAAAAAATTTGACAATGTTGATATTCTTTATTCATTCTTTGGGATAAATAAGGAACGACTTGAAATTTTGGTATAAGATAACGTTTATACTAACATTCTTAACCTTGCAAGAACATAGTCAATTACGGAAGACAAAATTGATGAATTTTGTAGTACTATATTACTTCGAACAAATCATTTTATCAAACTACTCATTCTCGATACAACATCTATGTAACGTATTCTTCTTGGTGGAGATTATCCAAATTTAACTTCTCTAGAACTCTTCAGTTTTAGAGAAGAAACCGTTTTTCATTATTTTAAAGGTAAGCATCTAACCTATTCTTAGTTATTAATAGATCGAAATTAACTGATTAGATTATTTCTTTTTTTTTCAATATCAAATAACAGATCTGATTCTTCATAAATATGATGAATATACTTGTGAATAATTGTTAAAGGTTTATACCAAAAATCTTAATGTAGATATCATGGTTTTCTTGGAAAATCTGAAGCATTTGACAATGATTTCATCATCTGTAAATGAATTCCAACCTTTATTACTTCACTTGGTACGACCAAACATTGATTTCTCTTCGAGTCTTAGTGAATTACGTATTAATGTAATGTATTTTGATGATTGTGTCTGTTTACTTGACGGTTGTTTGAAAGAACTAACCACGCTCATTGTTCACATCTACTGTATCAATATTTGAGCAGCCAAACCACCCAAAATGGTGAGTTAATACCATTCTATTCTCGTTTGTATATAATTAAGAAAAATATCGACGATGTAACGAATTTAATGTTCATGCGATAAGTACCGCTAGCATACCGGTTGGCATAATGTGTTGTATACTGTGATTTTTTTTCAAAATGAATGCGTTGTATCAAAAAGAATGAATATTTTTGACGTCTATTAAAACTGACAGAATTGGGTTCGCTTCGATGCATTGTGGTGATGTTGCTGTTGCTAAGTTGTCTATACTAACGAGAGAGCCTAAATCAGCCTAAGATATGAGATGAATTATTTATAATCGATCGCGCTGCAAAAATTTTTGTTAGTTAAATATATTTGTACGCTGTTTTTGTGTCAGTGAATTTGAATGCTTTCTAATCAAGAAATCGAATTTGGCTCGTAAAACTCTGAAATCATTGATAATTGAATACAAAATTCGTTAGCGGCAACCTCCGATAGTGAGAACAAACGTTTGATATGGGAAATGTATAATAGTTTTGATCATTATAAAACAATTAGCAAAAAAAATAGTTGTACTTGTTTTTTGATTATTCAAAAATGTTCCAAAATTAATTGTTAATAACGCACTAGAATTATTTAATTAAACAAGGTGTGGGTGGCTATGGAGTGTGGGGTGTTCTGTCGCTGGGGCTGACTATAAAAGATTTGATCACCCACATTCGTATCTACACCTACACCCGTAATAAACTTTGAGCACTCATTTCGTTGTTTCAAATACTATAGTATTGAAGAACATCTTCTCGTGTAATAGTAAAAAAAGTAAACACAAGAATTGGATGATAAATTTTTCAAAATCGATCAATAAGGGTGAGTGCCAATTTCCTCTACACCCTCACTCTATCCTGCGAATATGAACGACAAACATTTCTTTTTGCTTCATGGATAAAAATTTAACTTATTTTATTGAATGATTGGATTCATGCCCAATTTACTGTTCAATGAAATCATTTTTAATTCAATTTGTGTGTCTCTATATTTGTCTGATTTAAGTATGCCGATATCGTTCGTATTTTACTTCGATTTTATCCAAACCTATTTCTGTTAATTTTGAAAAATGATTGAAAGATAATTGAAGGATATAGATAGGTTGCTATGTGTATTATAAAAATCCTTTTTTATTCTTTCATAGCTAATGGAATATATTCAATACGGTTTGAGTTGAAATCATTTGAATTTATAAAAGTTCCTTTTCCATTTCGATTTTTTTCTTGACATTGAACTATCTTGATACATTAATTGTTTTCCTATTCATTATATAGCTAATCATTACATCAATTTTTCATCAAAAAAGTATTTCTTTTCTTTTGTTGCATAAACTATTTTTTTTAATATAATGTTCAGATAGACACCAAGCATAGTGCCTTTCTGCATTGAAGACCGAAGATGAATCAGTATGTCAGATTTTTTAAAATATGCATTTCATCGGAAAAATTATAATTACATTGAAGAGGATTAATTTTTATCTGTTTTAGAATGAAATAAAAATCCGAAACCGCATCTAGAAGTTAGTAATTCAGTTTTTTTCGCTCATACTGTACGAAGTCTTTTGTCATATGGTCAAGGTCCGTTTTTGAACGATACTAGCAAATTCAATATCGTATACAAATGAATATTGATGTGTGCAGTCCATTTAAAATGTAACTTCTGTCACAACTATGTTTTTTTTTGTTTCTTTCTTGGGGAATCATTTTTTTTGTTTACTCTTAACACGGAGCGTTTTATGTTTACTATGAGTACTTCCTCTCAATAGGCTGTGCAGTTGACGAACATTTAAAAAGAAACGAAAAGAAAATGGAGATAGGAAGTAGAAAAATAAAAAAAATGCCCAGTATTGCGATGTTGCACAAATTAAAAACGAATCATTCGACAAACAAACAACCGATGTTACATCAAGGGGAAAACAACTGACTTTATGACTTAAATGATCTAAATGATCTACGTGATCTAAATGACTTTATAGTCATAAAAGCCAGTTGTTTCCCTCTTGAATTCTGCGCATGTTCACTATGGCTGTTAAGTTTCCGTTAGACTAATGACCGCTAATGACACAGGCAAATAATTTTCAATTGTCTGGTTGTTATCGACATTCATAAACACGAAGATCCTCAATACTTAAAATCGAAATTGCAACACAATCTGGTTCATTATTATGCACATGATATTTCTGAAACCTAAAAAGTCGTCGTCGTGACAAGCGACGACTATGAAAAATAATCAGAAATTATTGTTTTTCTGATTCTAACTCGTTAGTTCACTCTAAATGCGTGTCATTCTTACAGAATTGTGTAAATTCAAAGAGACTAGGAGAAACTAACATATTCTACAGAAACTGAATGACATGAATGTGATTGACATGTAAGGAATCAAATCCAAGTACTGGACGCTGTTCGATCTTATATTTTAGCTATGAGGACTCTGTGAACCTAAGAAAATCCTAATAAGATTCGCGATCGTCATCTATACACCAGGAGTTATGATTGTTTTACTGAGATTCTGGCATATTCGTTGAAATATTGAATTGCAAAAACTGAGGTCTGAAATTTTTATCCAAGATACGTTTCATAGACTTGATAATACTCTAAAAGTTTTAGCTAACAACAATATTGCCTTATCAAGATATTAAGTATTCATGTAAATTCGGTTTGTGTGTGAGACCATTGACATATAATCAGGTTTTGAAGATTCAACATTACAGCAAAAGAACAATAAAGTTGCAGTTAATACTTTCAGGGAGCTATATGAACTACCAGACTTGTCTAAGAACAAACTTGCAAACGTCAACTTCATAACACAACATTCTCGATGATAACATCTACGAATACGCACGAAATTTGCCAAAGGAGTTCTAAAATTTGATCCACAGAAGATGATCACGAACAATAGTAAATTTAGGTTTCTGGCAGAGATGAAGCAATGAGAAAAAATAAATTTGAAGTCACATTCGATCTAGTAAAAATTAGTTTTTCGTTCGTTGTTGACGGTAAAACTTCTGACAGAAGGAACGATCACTTTGTTGTCTTCCTTTCTAAAGTTGCTACTGCTCACGAATTAGACTAGGGTTTTCTTAGCTCCACTGAGTTCCGCTCATAACCAGAACATGAAGTTGAGTAGCATCTTTCAGTTGAATATGTTTCTCTGTTGGTCTCGTTTTTCAATATTTTCGGTTTGAAAATATTTGTCGTTTTTCTCATTTCTAGTTTTTCCAGGCGTTCATGATCACCAGATTCTTTCATAATATTTATTCATCTACTTTTTGATAGAAAGTTGAATGCTCTTTTAATTGTAAATTGTATTTTGGTTATTGTTTACGTCATCATCATACGGATGCAGGACTTGAAATCCAATGTGATTGTTGAAGATCACGTTGGCTTCTAATCAACAACGACATAGAGCAAGAGGTGGCGAGAAGATGGACATATTATGAAACAAATCGAACGGTAGACTAGTTGACCTAAACTCCCCCCCAGAATAGAAGGCCACCCCATATTAGAAGGCCACCCCCATTAGAAGGCCACCCTGAGTCATATCTGCAAAAGTCATATTAGAAGGCCACGACTTTCTAATAAAATGTTTGGATATTACATACATATGCGGTGGGAGTTTTATAAATATCTTAGCATTTTGAGAGATCATGCATGATATCCAGCGCATTCCTGTTGGGTTTTACTATAAANAGTGGTCCTCTAGCAATGGGAGAAATATTGTTTCAAAAGCTTCTGATCACACAAAAGCTTTTAATCATCTCGGGGATTCTCGCTCGAAACCATTTTTTGAAAAGTCGAAAATGGATACATTTCGATATTGAAGTTAAAAGTGATAGTTCAAAGCAGTATGTATTCATGGTTTTCTTATGAAAAAAAACTTCAAAGAATCCTCCACCACCAAGGCAAAAATTAGCTCATTTGATGAAAGAGCGGTAGAGATATTGAATATTCTTATTGGTCCGGACTTTTGGAACACCCTGTATATGTCTATTTTTTAAATGCCCATATGATATTTTCCTTGAATATAAACATATTGTGCCTAACCCTTCAACTTTGATCTTTGTCTTGTTTAATGAAATTTTCATCGATATTATTCATCATGTAATCTATTTTAGGAAAACATATCAATACTGTATGTGGTAAAACAACAACAGATTTTCCTGCTTTAGATCAACACTGTGCCATTTATCTTGATGAAGACAAACCATAAAAAAGAAATATTAGAAACGCTCCTTTTTATAGTTCTTCAATGTACTATAATTAATATTTAATGTTTCATATCTTCTCGAATCTAAGAATAACAATCACAAGTCATAGTAATATTATGTCCTGAAAATTGTCTTTAGACTTGGCTTGTTGAATGACAACTTCGAGAACAGTTAATTCGTAATTTAATCAATAACATATAACTTTAGTTTTCTTAAACTCGATATAATGCATTCTTGTTATCGATATGTATTTTTTGAAGAGACTCAACCTTTTTCTATTGTGCACAGTAGGAAGATTTATTAAGCAACATAAGTAAACACATTTATCTAATTAACATCATCATAAAAACTGGAATCAATAGCCAACAATCAACAATTTTTTTTTCTTTGCAGGAAGAGATGAGAATGGAACACAATACAAAAAACAAACACTACAGTAAAAAAAACAGACAATATCAAATGGATGGAATGCTGAATTTTCATACTCTTCACAACGACACAGACAACACAAAAAAAAACAAAGCGTAGCCAAAAAAGAAGTGCAGCATCTATAAATGGTAAAAGAACAATATACAAAATATACATGTCTTTTTTTGCGAAGAAATGACCAATATTTCATTTTATGAATTATTTATTTCCTCATTCTTATCATCATTCTTTTGCTCTTCATTTTCAGGCACAATATTATTACTTGTTGAATGATTAACAACAACGTATTCATGTCCATTTGAATTAATATCAGTTGGTATTGGACTTTCATCTTCATGATAATATGTTTCTTGACGTGATACAGCTGTTTCTAATTCACTATCTGTATTTTCTTCTTGATCAGCATCATTATCCTCTTCATCACTACCGATTCTATTTAGGAAAAAAAATTATTAAAATAAATTTAGGCATAACTTTTCTAAAAATTTAAGGCATTCCAATATGCGAATAGGAGAAATATACTAACAATAGAAACAAGCAACATTTCGAACAAGAGAACGTTCCAGAATGTTGGATTGCTGTTTTTGCTATATTCTAATCGATACATTATAAACCTTGTAAGAGAAGTCTAAGCTGAAAACGATTTGAGTTCTGGAATTGCTTTAATCAAGATATCGAATATATCCGTTCTCTTTCATAAGAAAATAAATGCTCCAGAAAGTTTCTATTGATCTCGAATTATCGATTTCTCCCTTCAGTGAGACATAGAGTGCGAAATCTTATTACGACCATATTCAATAGGCCTTTCGATTCTGTACAAAAAATTTCAGAGAACTAATTATTAAATTGATACTTACTAAAAAACCTAAACATAATTTAAATCAGAATTTTTTAGGATAGCACGCATATATCATTGAGAGAGAACTATTTTTACCGATCAGTTTTCAATGATCAAACATAAATATAAGCTAAAATTGCTTTTTTTAACGATATATCTCGACATAGAAAAGTCATATGTTCAAACTCTATTTGCATTGAATAATTTTCACTAACGAGGGAACCACAAGAACTGATATCCACTGTTTGAGCTTATTTCGAGTGTAAAAGGACGCTTTGATGAAAATAGCAAAAGTCTAACAAAGGGTTCATCTCCATGCATAGTTTTCGTTTGGTTCTGCTTAGAAGGAGAAAGAGTTAAGGGATTTAATATCTTCGTTATCAATCGTGAACAATTTATTCTTCGTCACTATTTCTCGGATGTGTGTCCTCTACTTCTTTTCATTCCCACCTTTCACTATGGGGGACAGGAAACGCAATACACCCACTTAAAACTTTATTGCTTCATCTAAAAACTTGACTCGTGCGCCGCCTATGTTATCCTACGAAAGTGTTGTTAGCATCGTAAACGAAAAAGTGCACTATATCAGTATTTTATGGAATCTATTGAAACTTTATATATTTTAAGATACAACAGTCATCGAATACGTAATAAGCTACTTCTACCTCTCTTAATCCTATGCACTGCCTTCATGACTCTTGAGAACCGAGTTATGAACGTGTTACTGAATTTCGCATTCAGCCATAGTTATATGCGAAAAAATCAAAAAATAGAATTTCAACCTAAAAAACTTTACCTATAAACAGGTTTAATGGTCCAGAAAATATTCTGATAGTTTCAGCTGAAAAGTATGTTCTTTTATCGGAATATTCAATTTTCAAATAAATTTGACTTTTGCATCATGTTTGCAGCAAGTCGAGTCTGTCGGATCCAAAATCTTCGAACCTCCTGGTTGGACCCAGGACCAACTCGATGGACTCTAGTGACAAGCGATGATTCTTTTGGATATTCGATATGTCAACAAAAGAAGAATCTTTTGGGCTGAAACTTTTAGGATATCCAAACGGGCATTCGATCTATCTATGAGCAAAATGTTACGTTGAAATTCTGCTGCTTGATTTTTCGCTATATATCTAAAACTGAGTTGAAAACTCAGTAAAACGATAATAACTCAACTTTAAAGACCCATAGAGACAAATCTCTTTAGGTCTTTGCTAGTTTCACCATAGCATCTTTGTAAACGTAATATAAACTCAAACGACGAGGTGTCAGTTCAGATGGTTCCCTAGTAAGAACAAAGCATCGGTTCGAGTTTTCAGTCAATGCATACAAGGTTAATGGTCGATCTTCCGATTCGGCTAATTCAATTTGATATTTATTATCATTTTCTCCATCATCAATTGGTGATACTTGTTGTGTATAATATGCCGCTGATGGACCATACTAGAAATAAAATCATTTATCAATAAATTTAAAATAAATTAATTTTTACCAAATGTGCATATTCATCTTCTTGTTTAGTTAATAATTCTGTATTTTGTTCAGTATGATTTTTTGTTTGTAAATTATTTTTATTTTCATATATTTTATATTTAACTAATTCATCAAATGCAACATCAGATATATCACGAATAAGATCAGCAGCACAGTCACGGATACTAAAAGCAAAATCTCGATTCATTAAATATTTGTTTTTTTTTTAATTTTTTTGTGATATTTTACCTTGTTCCACAATATTTTTCAATTGTTTTTTCAATTAATTCAGAAAATGGATTTTGAAAATGACGTATTAACTCAGCCGAATCAGGTTGTTGTTTAAATAAAAATAAAATACGTTCACGTATATGATTTAGAGTTGATTGATTAAAAACTTCATCTATACGTAATCGCATAAATCTAATAGAAGGAAAAAACAAACTCTTGAAAAAGAAATCATTTTATTTATTAAATATATACGGAATTAATTGAACCATTATTGACTTAACTTGTAGATCAAGTGTTTGTAAATCAACATTTTCCATATCCTAAACGAAAAAAGAAATATTTTGTTTTTCTTCTGTTCAATAACAATATTTTAAAGTACTTGAGTTATTGATGTATAATAAGCAGATGGTTGAGTATTAAACATAGTGGCTACAAAATCATTTGATTTTTGTTCATCATCACTATTATCATTTTTCAATGTATCCTGTTGCATTCGTTGGTAATCATTGGCAGATGATGATGATGATGATGACGATGATGATTGTTGATCTCGCTTTTGTTTATAATTATATAATTGATTATTTTCATTATCATTTAATATTGGTCGTCGATAAATTGGAAAAGATTTCGAGAGATCATCTTTTATTGAATGATCATGATGACTTGGAAGATCATTAATAGAAGACATTTGTTTTGAACGAATATATGTCGGTTTTGGTGAAGATAAACGTTCAGTAGAAAGTTTTGCTAAATAATAAAATTAAAATAACGAAAATATGTTTCTTATAGTAAGGATATATGAAATTTATGACTTGTTGTACGAAATTTTTTGTATTTTAATTGAATTAGATAAGATTAATTAGTTGCGAGCTTTACTGTTTGAAATAATTGATTAGGAAAAAAAAATATCAAAATATTATGTTGGCTAATACGCGTCATGGTCTGTACAAAGACTTTTTCGTATCTGCTATGATCTATTATCGACAATGTAAAACTTCCACACAAAATGTCATATATCAACACAAGGTTTTAATTGTTTTATAATTTATTTATGCTATTAGCCTAGTACACTTTGACAGTAAAGTGTATATTAGGAGTCAAGGAAGAGCTTCACTTTGCTGCTTTTCGTTAATATTTAATTTTTATTGTATTGAATTCGATTGTCTCGTATATAAAAATTTTTATGAAATGAAAAAGGGAAAAATGATGATAGAGAACATGATGATAAGAAACGAGACACAAACATCCGTGAAAACTGATTCTAGCTGTCGAAAATTTTCAAAAAACGCAGGTATCTCTTTTTATGTCTGGCCGGCAGCGGTAGCTCACGAGGAAGTTTTTATTTATAGATACTACATAGTGTTCTAATAAAAACCCTAAAAGTATTTAGGTTTGACTAAGCTATCGAATTTTAATCTGAAACTTTGCGCGTATAGAGAACTCAACTAAACTAGCTTCCATAGAAAATTTGGAAGTCTTGAATCAAGTCTTTTCGTGATATGAAGCTTTCAAAAAATGCATCGCATCTTGTATACACTATCCATAAAAAACAGGTCTATATCTTGAAAGTCGCATATCTCGCAGATACTTTGTTCAAAACTTCTGAATCTTTTATGGAAACTAATCTAGCCGGGTTCTCTATCGGCACAAAGTTTTAGTTCAAAATTCGAAAATACAAGTTTTCTGAAAACCTGAAGTTTCAAGAAAAAACTCGGTAGTTTAGTCAAACCCACATTCTTTGTAAGTTTTTATTAGAACACTATGTAGCATCTATAGGGAAAGAAATCCTTAAAATCGAAAGGGCACATATTAGAAGGTTCCTTTATCAACTGAATGGCTTACAATTTTAATGATAATCGAAACATCGATTTGTCCATATTAAGTTTAGTTTTTGTCTTCCATCCCAGTTTCAAAACATTGACAAGCCACAAACATTTTCGATATCGAATGACTACTAAAATCGATTGGATATGAATCGTAATTTTCTGTCCAATAGATTATATACGAGAGAACTTGATGACCCGCCTATGGAGTTAGCGATTGAAAAAGATATACATGTTTTTCGAATCTATGTTCAGAGCGAATATAGAATATTTCATTTTCATCATGATCTTTTCCGAAAAATTTAGTATCTCATTACCGATTTCTTCAGTCATTTCAGAACTACTATGAATAATTTTTCGCACTATTTCACTCGTTGATGATGTGATTATTTAACTCTACTTTCAAATGATTTATAAGTGTTTAGTACGCTGGTCTATCTAAGTTAATCATGAAGTTATACGAGATATGAGTACTAATAATATTATCATTTTTCAGAAAAAAAAATTTGATATTCCATTTCAGTAGTATTAAAATACCTCCTATTAAAGGTTACCCCTTATAGCTTTTATTTTTTTCTAGTTAATATTTTCTGGTTTTTTTATTTGAGATGCTATAAACGGCTCTTTTTTTTTTATAAAGATTTTGCTGTAAGTTTTTAATATCATACTAGTTCGTTCTTGTTTAATTGGTGTTGTTTCCTTATGAGTTGCCTCGACTTGAATAGCCGTTTGTTTTCCCGTACTTTGACTATTAAATGATGTTTTACTTGAATTTTCAAATAAATGGTTTGTTGTTAAAAGTTGATTTTGTTGTTTTAATTGTTCATCAAATCTTGAACGTGGTTGTGGACGAATATTAGATTTAATTTGATCAAAACTATAGATTGAATCTTTTGAATTATCTCTTGAATATGAACGCGGAATATGATGATGATGATATTGATTATCAAATGATATTGATGATGTTAAACGACTATTTTCTGATTGAAGTGCATTTATTTCCGATTGTAAAACAGCTATTTCACGATATGCTGCATTTAAATTAACAATAAGACTTTGAGTTAAAGTTTGTTGTTGAAGTTGGCTAAATGTTGGATCAATTGTTTGCAATAATGCAGGCTTTGTTACATTTGTAAGACGCTGTTCAATATTATGATTAAAAGATTTTTGTTCCTCAATGAATGTTGATAAACAACGACATATTTCACGCATTTGTGCACTTAATTCATCAGATTGTTGATCATGTTTAGTAACTACATTTTCGGATGCACAAAGATTCTTAAAAAAAATAAAAGTATGTTACATGTTTTCAAGATTAAAATATGTGCTAGCGTCCAATCTTTGACTCACTTAGGCTTATTAGAGGATGAATTAGGGTGTCGGTGTACTTGTTCTCTTCGTCTTACTCTTACACCTACACCTACAATCAAGATATAAATTGACATTTTTACTTTTTTGAAGTTTGTTTTAGTGTAAATGGCGATTCAATTTCATTCACATTTTTCTATTCTAGATTTTATTCAATATATTTTTTGCACTGAATCAAAACCTTCATGTATTTAGTATGCCATATAATTAGTCTCTAATTCGGGATTTGTCCAGATGGATCCGAGATTAGTCATAGTAATCTATCAATACGTTGTTGACTTAGGCCAGTATGAGATTCACCTAAAATTTTCAGGCGAATCTTACGAGAGAACATATCTAATTGTCGGACATCGTTCGACTTCATAATATGGCTATGAGAAGTCTTGACGCAACTAAGACAAGTTTCAAAGGAGTTTTGACTCATGGCCTACTGATAAAGAGTTATGGTTATGTACTTTTAGGTAAAATTTCAGATTAAAACTCTTTGTTTTGAGTTGCCCGGATATGTCTTGCTCTCAGAAACAACTTCATTGAAATGGTCGTAACTCTGTATCAGTAAGCCATGGGTTCGAATCCTTCAAAGCTTGACTTAGTCTCACTGAGACTAGAACCTGCGGCATTGGCCCGAGACCTGGACACTGTTGTACACATTTCTCAGATGAGGCTTGTTTGCAGACATAATATGAAGTCGAATGGCGTCCGACATTTGAATCTGTTTCCTCGTTAGATTGTACGTATTGTAACTAATCAACCCAAGAATGGCGGTAATTAATGTCGTATTCTAGATTGACCTAAGCAAATCTGAGATTGAGCGCTAAGATATGTTGAACCTTACAGTTTGTTTTATATGGGGTTGATTTTGTTGAGATGGAAAATAATAATTCATCTGAATATTATTATCGTTATCATCATCAGTTTGTTCTTCATTATCTGATACACATTCAAAATTACATAATTCTAGTTCATTATCATCATCTTGACTTAAACATTCTTGTTGATTAGATCTATATGATGGACGAATATTTTTTGAATCATTTAATTTATCATTATCAACTTTTATTTCATTTGTGAAATCTTTTTTTTGTTGAATTGATGGTGTTTCCATAGTTTGTTGTAATGAAGCAATTTGATCTTTTATTGTATGTAAACGTTGTCGAGATTCAATTAAATGCTCAATTTCACGATGTTGTGCTGCCATTTTAGTATCAACATAATTATTAATTGTTGGAAGAGGTTGTGGAACTTGTTGAGGCGAAAGAATATTTGATAAGAGAGATGATCTTTTATTGGCAATAGGTGTTCCAGTTTGATTTTGTTGAGATGAAGTTGGAGTACAGTCGATTGAATTGGTAGAATGTTCAAAACTATTCCTTTTCGACGAAGGCTTTTTTTGTATTGGAGTAGAATTTGCAGATGAAGAATATTCATCTGGTTGAATTGTTTTGACCATTTGTTGAAGTTGAGTTAAAGCAGACTTTGCTTGTTCGAGCTCTCTAAAATTCGAAATATTTGTGTTTGATTCTTGTTTCAACAAACTTTAAATATAAGAAATTTACTGATAAAAATTGTAATGAAGAATTTTAAATTAGAAGATGTGACAAGCTGTCATTTTCTGCTCTTTAACATGGTACATCTCTATGTCCTTGAAACTTCCAGTCATTTTGAAGAAAGATGTTTTTTTGTCTTCGTAGATTAAAAGAGTGTAATCATGGATGAAAACATTGAAACATGAATGAGCCTGTCCTGAAGAATCTTGTTGTCTGAAAATGCATGTAGAAAAATCATCTTCAAATCAGTTTGGGTTTAATTAAGGATCAACCAACTAGAGGTACGTGATTAGTATTAGTATTAAAATTGTTTGCATTGTAATTAATTAATGCTAAGCTGTTAGCATTGAATTAGCATTATTTTTAATTCTAATGCACACGTTACCTATGGCTATACCTGTGAAAATTCCACAATTTTGGGAGCATATAAACTTAGAATTTTCGAGATCTAAGTCGTCGGTAATCTATGTATTAGATTTAAAGAAATAATACTAACAGTGTGACATTAATTAACTCGAATAGAAATGATAATAAAGCCTTCAGGGCATTCCTCTCTTCTGTAATCCAATTTTTTGTGTGATCATTGTATAATCTGAATTCGTGTCTATCTACTGAGTACCTCTTTTGGGATCCAAAAATTGTCTTTCAATGTTAAGAAATTCGAGAAGAAACTAAATTAGTAAAAACTGTATATTATTGCGCTTTTTGTTATCAAAATCAATTCTTGAGCAGAAAAATTGAAGCTTTCTCTCACACGGTATGTTCGATTGGGCTCAAATTTTTTTACGAATACTTTGATCCAATTGAGGTACATGCTTTTTGTCTTAAAAATGTTGTTCTTACGCAATTCGCCAGCCTTTTAAAATTAGCACCATTGAAAACAACACATATTTTCTGTCTGTATGCCCAGTATTTTGCTTCTCCTTAGTTCCAGAAACGATATTCTTGAAAGAAAAAAAGAAGATATATGCATCCCGATTTGATCCTAACCATCATAAAAAAATCGCACCTCAAAAAAAATGAAATATTGGGTTTTGTGACCTCCATATGGCCCTAAACGAAGAATCTGAGAATTTTGAGTCTATGACAACTTTTGTTTCACTTATCAAGACTTATCTGTCTTGAAAGGTCACTAATTTTTCGTAGACCAATTCTCGTGAAACCTCGGAAAGGGAGAAAGTTCTATTAAAGCATTAGCATTAATAAAATGTTAATTATATTACGACACGCCCTAGAATCAAAATTAAGGCATATTATCATAATGACTTCTTCAGAAAGTCAACTTTCTCATAGAATATACGTACTGTTTATCGAGTAAACTTGAAGTAAAATATACTTTGACTATGTTACAATCAATTTTTTCTTTACAACTTTTATCCTAATTTCATTTAATACGAAATAGTGTTTTGACTCAAGCTTTGCATATTTTAATTCATCTCATTATTGATCTTTTTTAGAAGAACTAGGCATTTTGAACTCCGTTTGTAATCAGCACTTACAATCGTTTAGCAGCTAAGTCATTTGATACTTTAGAAAATTGTTTAGAAGCATTATCATTATTGTATGTTTGTCTTTTTTGTTGTGAAAATGTCTTTAAATACTGAGCATCATCTGATTGAATAGGAGTATCTTCATCATGTTGATTATTTAAATCTGTTTGATAATATGTAACAATTTGTTCTAATTCATCTAATCGTTCACGAACATGTTCGAGATTTTTTAAACGATTTTCTGTTTGTTTTTGAGATTTATTTGATGAACTAAATAAAAACACATTATGTTAATGAAAAAGAAAAACAAAATGAGAAATAAATTTACTTTTTTGCTTGTTGAATTTCATCCTGATATTTTTGTTCATACACATTTCGAAGTAATTTTAAACTAAATATTTTAAAAAAATTTATTTGAAAAAAAATGAAAGTTAGTCTTATTCATACCGATTACGTATATTATCAATATCAGATAAAAGATTATTTTCTTCATTTGTTTTTTTAAGATTTGTACTTTTTTTACTAATTAATTGTTGTTGTTCGATTAAACGTTGTTCTGAACGTCGTTTTAAGGCAATTAATGCTCTTTTTTGACCTTGTAAAGCACGAAGCTAAACATAGAAATAGATAGAATGTTAATCAAAAATCATATTTATTTTTTACTTGTTCTTTTTGTAACATTAAATTTTTTTCCATTTCTTTTTCATTTTCACCGTCACTTTCTTCATCATTAGACTTGCATAGAAAAGAAAAAATAAAAGTCAAAATATGCAAAAAAAACATTTATTTACAGTAGACTGTTGATCTTTCCAATTAATTGTATCACTTTTAAGACTTCCAACAAGTGAATCATAATTCGAATTATCATTACGATTTGTTTGTTCATTATCCGATAAATTTATTGTCTGTGGTATAAAACCTGTTTTACTTTCTATACGTGGCCGAACTGCTAATTGAACATTACGTCGAAGTGATAAATCATTCTTATTTATAAATTAAAAAACAAGAGATTAAATAAATAATTTTGTAAAATACATACATCATTATCATCATCATCATGTGTATTCATTTGTGTTTGACGATGTGATGTAGAATTTTTATTCGTGCCTGTTGATTGTTCTTCAGCAGTCAACTAAATATTAAAAAAACAACCATATTAAGTGTCCGGAATGATCACAAGACAGTGTGTAGAAAAGTTTCATATGAACATTTCTAAAAGAGATGCTGATAAAAAGATAAGTTTACATGATTTTAAAAGTTACAAACTCGTAACTCATAATATTTCGCTCTACTGTACGAGAATTTGAAGTTCAGAGTAGAGCTTGTCGGATACAAAATTTTCTGTATGGAACTAACCCGGTGGACTCTAGCTGTGAGACCGTAGTGTCTATAAAAAAAACTCATTTTACTCGGTATTCATTTGATGAAGTCAAAGAAAGAGAGACTTGATAATTATCACTTTCATACGTATTGAAACATAGAAATGAATCTTTTAATAATAACTTGCATTTATTGTATCATATATGACCTCACGATGCCAATAGAATATGAAAATATTACTAGTAGTAGACTGAAAAAATATTGAGTGAAACATTCATGCAATACTTATTTAAGAGCCCTTAAAAAATTAATTCTTTAATTTTTTATCTGATTTCAATCAAACTTCTAGAAAATGTTAGGCTTGGCTAGAATAGATTATTGATATCTTCCCCAAGTCTTCTAGATATTCCCGAGTTATAATCAATTGATTAGTCAAAAAGTATCCTTTACAAGAAGACGGTTTTCAAAATGAGGACACGACTTAACATGACTGTGTCGTTTGCATATTGTAGAGTATACATAGGGCTAAGTTATAGCAGAGTCCGATTTTTGAATTTCCCATTGTTTGTTTTTTCAAAGAACTTTGTCGAAAAAATTTTTAAATTCGTGTCCAAAAACATCGCTAATTAAAATCAAAATTTATAAAAAAAAAGACCGCTTCTAGATTGAGTCGTTATGAAACAAAATTTTCCCACGTAAACGGTATATTCGAAAAACCTGATTTTCAAAAGACTGAAAAACAATAACTTTGATTTACTTAATATTTTCACATAATTCGTCAAGCTTTATTAGATGGTATATATATCATGCTAAAATTATGGTTATGCCTCTTTATAAGTAGCTATAGGGTAGGGTAGGGACTATGATACCATAGAGCTATGAAAATTTCTATATAATACAATTTCATATTATTCTGTAAAGGGATCTCCGGAAAAAATTTAAGGATACAATAGTGATGATGCATTGACAGACTCCTGTCATCGTTGCATCTCTAATTGCATTTATGTAAAGGTCTCGTACAAAAATATTAATAAGATGCGAACATCTCATTTTGTTTTCTTCGAATAAATAGTAGTTTATTATTGTCGTATTATTTCGCATGATTGAAAAGGATGAAATTTTGTATTGATATAAAGTAACTCGATATATTTCAATAGAATCTAACTAATTAAAAATTAATAAAAATAGTTGGATTACTCTACCGTAATTAGATTGAGTAAATTAATATAACTAGCTTGTTGTTCTTGAAGATTTGCAATAAGTGAACGAAGTTTTTCATATTGTCCATCATTATCCGGCTAGAATTAATTAGAAAGAATTTTTTAAATAATAATAAAAATAAATGTTTACAACTAAATTTTTGAATTTTTTCATTGATTCAAGCATTGTTTGTGCTTGTTCAATTGAGTTTTGTATTTGTTTTATACGATTCATAATTTTAGCTGCAGAAATCATCTACACATAAAAAAAGAAATTCTTCAATTATTTTTTGCTTTTATTTTTTAAAATAATACTTCTGACGGTGGATCTTGATTATTATTAGTTATTGTATCAGTATCATTTGTCTCATTTAATTCATCTTTATTTCCTTTTCCAAATGTTGGTCGTGGTATACTTTCAGCTAATAAATCATTTTCATTTTCATTTTCATTATCACTTTGTTGAATATTGTCATTCGGATAAACAGGATCAAAAAATGACATCTTAAAACAATTATTTGCTTTAATGAACAAAACAAAAACAAATAATAATATTTACTTGATCGTTCGTATTAGGTAAATTACGTATTTTTCGTTTAATTGGCATTTAGTTATCTAGAAAAATGATAAATAGTTTTACATATCTGTACATCAGAGATTGTGAAAATTGCACAAAAATAAAAACAATGCTACTATTTATCGTTTTTCTTCGTTCGTATACGGCGAGCTTCAGCTAGAAGTTTTTCAATCTCATTTCGCTTTGTTTCTATTCTTTGATTATTATTATCCGTGTTTAGAGATATATCAGACGAATCAGCATGATATTGCATTGCTAATAAATACATTTCTGGTGATTGATACCGTGATGCACTTGGTTTTACTAGATGAACAATATGAAAAAGAGATTCAAGTAATGAACGCATTTCTTGAAATGTTTCTTGTCCTTGAAATAATTTACATAGAAAATAACCATTCTTTTTTAATAATCGACGAGCAAAGTGAAGAGCTTGTCGTTGAAGTACCACTATAGCTAAAAAAAACATCAAACAAGGCACTTAAGTACCTTTTTTTTGTTTCGATTTTCAGTTAAAAATTCTAACCTGAATGATCAATTTCTTTACATCCAGTAACATTTGGACACATATCAGAAAGAATTCCATCAACTTTATTAATTTTTAAACGATTTAATAAATCTTGTAATCGTTTATTACAATCATTAGTTGTTTCTTCTGTTAAATTCCAATCATCAATAATGTGTACACCAGGTATTTCAAAAATTGGATCACGATCAAGTGCAATAACTATTCCACATTTTAAATCTGGATTTGGTTTATGTAATGATGTTATTTCACTTGGATGTAACAATTCATTTTGTTGTTGTTGTTGTTGAGTTTTTTTTCCTTTATTAGTACGAGCATTAACTTCTTTAACAAGTACTTGTGACCATGCACCAGGTGCTGCACCCATATCAATAACAATATGACCAGGTTCTAAAAATTTATACATATTATTCATCTCAATTAATTTAAAAGCACTTCGTGCTCGATAATTTTCTTTCACTGATCGACGAACATATGGATCCGAGACATGTTTAGCCATCCATGATTTTGTAAAATGACATGTACTTATTGAAAATGAACGATAAGAAAAAAACCGTCCGATCAACATAAATGTCTAAATGTTGAGTTCTAACAATTGAAAAATACTTGAATTAAAAAGGATTTTCTTTTTTTCTTTTTCATCCAATATTCTTTCCGTGTATTACCCAGAAAAGGGCAATGATGAAGCGATTACTTCCATCGGTCAATATTTAAAAAATGATGTTTTCAAGGTAACGACCTCAAAACACTTTTCTATTGAAATAATTTATTGATTTCGATTTCTAGTCATATAATTTATCTACTTTAATTTTTTCGTATTAAATTATTAATGAGCTTTAGTCATTGTTGTTTTCAATCATTCAATTAAATAAACAAAATCACTAGTCAATATGAGCGCGACATCTTTCGAACCAATATAGAGAGCATAAATGAGATCAGGGGTACTAATTAGTTCACTTTAAACATATTTATTACACTGATTGGTGTAATTTACACACACAGCACTGCATGAGAGTGAGGGCGCTATGATTAATGTTTAAAGTGAACTAGTACCAAAAATTTAATATATTAAAAAGTTTTCCCATGCGGTGTGTCAACAGTGATGATGAATAGGTTGCGCATCAATATTTCAATTTTGTGCATGAACGTTTACCAGCGATGAAGAGCAAAGGCCTTGATGGTTCAACAATTAAACTTTACCATGAACCAGATTACATGTGTTGTTTTAATTCAGTTTCAGAAAAGTTTCGTGACGATCTTGACAAACATATTGCTCAAGATCATTTGAAAATGAGTTTTTCAGAGTTCGAACCATTAAATATTTGTCAATGTAGTCGATGTAATCAAAGCCTTAGAATTTATATTATTAAACCGTCAAACAAAACTAGTTATAGATTTATGCAAAACTGTGATTGCCGAAACTTCGAACGAAGGATACTTTAAGAAATGCAGCAACCTTGGGTAGAAGTTACTTTTTCGTGAAATTTGTGACATATTTCTGGATTTGAAAAGAACTTTCCTTTGTTCAAATAATTCATTGAAAAGTGCTGTAGAATTAAACAATTCAACGAAATCACCAAATGAGCTTACAGTTCCTGCTAATCTACAACCAAATCCTAATAGAGTTCCTTTATATAACATTCGTAATACAAAAGTAGAAAATAATGGCTTCATTAAACAATTTTGTCAATTTTTAGTACAACTGTTGTTCATAGTCATCTGTTCTTGGCTAATATTCGTTTATTTATCAAGTAAAATGACCCGTTAAGTGTATTAAAAATTAAGACATCACGATGATCTTCAGCTTTCATTAAATTATTTACTCTTTAACATTATTTCGTCATAGATTCAAAACAGTCGCCTCCGACAAAAAAAGAACATATTCTAACGATTTCATCGATTTATGAAAGTTAAAATCATCGTACTATCGGTAGAGCTTTTACGCGTGTGTTTTGTTTTTTTTCAATTATCTGGTTGTTTCAATAAAACAATAATCCATCATTAATTAAAACAAGATCTAAGTGTATATCTTAATTTAAACGATTCTCTATTCAATCTCTCATGATGTAGTTGCGACAAAGTTTTATTTTTAGCTCCTCACAGTAAGAGATCACCATATTATTCTTAATATATGAATACAACTCCGCACTCTAGAATTCAATAATTAGTACCAATTGAACAGATAAAACTTTAGTGAACTTATTTTATTTTGTCTACTATCACTGTAACATTCAGTTGCATGTAGTTCTTTACAATTGTCAACTGTTTTATGAATTATACATGTGTCAATATTTCTATATGAATTTCTTGTTTTTCTACAAAGAAAATGTTATTACGAATATTGTCAACAACTAGCTCATGCTTCTTACTTATGAAATCGTTTCTTTTTGCGTCTTCTTATGACCGTTGAAGTGATCCTATTATTATCATATTCATGTTGTATTACTGAAAAGAACCACTACATTGTGACAACTATCAGAAGTGCCTTTATGATAGTTTAGTTTTAATACAAGCCAAGAATATTTACAGCATATTCGTCGATTGCTTAAATTTATTCGTTTGGCTTTTGAAAATATCATAGTTTGGTATTTTGACACCTATGATTAACTTAATTTAAACAAACAAATGATGAAAGACTTGTGCTAGATTCATTTATTATTCGATGTATACTTGAACTCGGACGTACAGTCTATTATTTCAGTTCTACGAAGAGAAACAATGTAAAAATTATATAACTTATGAAATTTTTAATATTAACAACTCCTATTTTGGTTTATTACGTTTCATATATGCTAATAGTAATAATAAATGAAGATTTCTTTCAAAATGTTTCATCTAGTAACTCACAGCATCTAATATTGAACAATATCTATGCCACGCTTTAGCTAACTTTTTGCAATAACAATATAATTTCGTTATAAGAATTGATAAGATTGGTCTATTCTTATTGGAAATAATTATTTAACACAGCTGAAAGGCATATCAATTCGTATAAAGATACCATTGTTGATAGAAAGATAGTGCAGATTTTTTTTTATTAGACTTCCTATTTTAAGATATCTTTACATCTAAATATTTTCACAGTTGCATCATGTTAGTAGTTGGCAAGGTTTTCACAACAGAATGGACTTTATCTAATATTTTTTGTAATGGAAGCATGAACTAAAAAACTAATAGCTATTGGGATTTTATGTGAGAGTCAATTAAAAGTAGCCCAAAAAATTGCACTCGAAATTTCGAGATGAAAAATCTTTAGTTTAGATCGAAATTAACTTCTAATATCTGCTTAACTTTTCGTGAGTATAATAAACTCATTCAACATGATCAAAAGCTCTCATCACATAATAAGAAAAATACTTAGAATTGGAATTTTCACAGCGACTAGAAATTTGTCAGTTAGAAACTTCCAAGTTCATGACTCTTGATCATTAAAACCATGATAATCGTTAATAACCAGCAAAATATGCCAACTTTAGTGACCTGAAAAAGTCAGATTGGTTCCAAATATGATCTAACACAAAAGTTTTAATTAATAAATCTGTTGTCATTTTCATTGAGAACAAAGTATATTTATTTATAATTAAAACAAACGAATGTTCGACATAAAATTAATCAGAAACTGATATTTAAAAGCACTATTTTTTTATTTCAATATTGATAATATAAAAACTACAATCAAGCGAATTTTTTTTATTGAGTATGATTAAAATGTTGTTACTGAATATTTTGCTTCTTAGTAAGTTTTCTTACGTTAACTAAAACTAATTTATTTTTATCTAAAGATTTAATATCGTCGGATATTTTTTTAATTGAAGACATATTCTTTTTTCCTGAAGTGTTTTGTTCATTTAAATCATAACTTTCAGTACATGAACGATGTTTTGAACGTGTTGTATGTTGATTTGAATCACTATTTGTTGATAATGACCAACTTGATAATGTATTATTAATTGTTTTATCATTATTATCTTCTGAAATGTCATCGATAGTCATTGGTAATGGTGATGGTGTTTTAAGTTGTTTAGATTTATGAAAAAATTTCGAAAGAGACATTTGAGAATAAGATATAATATTATCTTTGATTGATGTCATTTTTGCTTTTTGATCAGATAAAGGTGCTGCACAATGTGATTCTATATCATCTGATTTACTTATAGCTGTTTCTTTGGAATTTCTATACAAAGAAAATAAAATTATAAATCAATAAATCTTGTTACTGACATTTTTTCATCTTGTTGATGATTAATTGTTGTTGATGGAATGTTACGAATGTTTTCAATATGTCGTAGACATATTTTATTAACTTCTGTTTCATGATGTTTTTCATGTACTGAAAATGATTTCCGTTTTCTTCGTGATATACAATATATTGATAAACATCCATTGCGTAGTAGAGGCATCAATATTTAACTAAATAGTGAGCGGTCGAAAGGAGTTTATTTTATTTCTCTTTTTCTTTTTCTTTGTTTTTAAATGAAGAATGATGTAATACAATCAACGAAGAATATATTAATCTTTTGAACGGAGAGATCCAACGAGAAAAGAAAAGAATGTTATTGACATAAGATACGGATTCATTTACTTTTTATTGTTAAAAGTAACATTTAATGTATGGGAAATTATTCTGTTCAGTTTTTGATAGAAACTCATAAATTATTGTTGTTTTATCAGATAAACCAGATATAGTTGTTGTGCCAATAAAATTTACTGGACGTGTTAAATCACACTCTGATGCATTTAATGTCAATGACATCTCGCCAGAAACCGGTGAATCAATTCGAATTAGTGAACATTCATTATTCCATTTTATAACATCGGTATTTAACCAACTAGTACAATTCATTACTTCAGCAAAAACATTCTCACATTCTTGTGTATTTGGATCAACTAATGCTTGAAGATAGGTTCCATTATTATAAGAGACTCCATAAAATATTCCACTAAAATCACCTGTATATGACTGCCAATTACGATAACCAATAATTGTTTTCATATCTTGATCTGTAACTGGTTGTATAGTATAGATTCCAGACACATGCATTGTACTGAGGAGACCGTTGAAAGTAAAATTCAATGTAGTACCAATTGATGGTAACATAGGTTGAGGAAAAAATAGGAAAGGGTCTCCATTTATTTCAAAGATGACTGTATGGATAAAGAATACTGCAATGATTAAAATTTTCATTATCGTGTTTATTTGCAAATGAATGTGTAATTTTTTTCAATCGACTTTTTCAGCCCTGTCACTTTTCATCAGTCTAATATCAAAGACACGAAAAAAAAGAATCATTCCATAGTGAGAAAATGTATTGATAAAGCATTTTAATATAAATATTTTTCTTTTTCTTTTTATCCAATAATACATGTTGAAGCAATGCTTTGATTCTATAATCCTTGTGCACATAAGATTAATTGCACGTAAACTTGAGAACGAACGCTGTTCGTGCATATTTTGCCCAACAATTATATACGTCACTATCTTATCGTAGTTAGTGAAAACCGACATATTCTTATGTTTTTTTCGTTGATAATGATTTATTTCTCTTTCCCTCTCTCTACATCAACATAACTATCAACGTATTACTCCATATAGTTCGTTTTTAGTTATTGTCATGTAAAGGTCAATAATAATTCTGTCGTAGTTTCTCAGGCTTTTAGATATGTCATAGTGATAAAGCAGCTCGATAATCACTTTTTATCATACAAATATTTTCAAGTTTAGTAGAATAATATTTAATTGCCATCAATGTGATATATTGATATTTTTGTTTGACAATAATATTTTCGAACAAGACTTTTGTACTCATTTGATAGCAGTTGGAAATGCAACTTTGATAAAATGTTCAAAAACCGAATACTAAATTTCATAATGGTTTTTTTTGTTAGTGTAATTCGTAAAATTTATTAATAATTTTTAGATTCGAATAAAAAAGAGATGGGGGTAAAATCAATAACTCGATAACGATGACAGTTAATGACCGGCGGCTTTTAACAATCAAAAAGAAGAACACTGGACGTCTTTTTATCTGATACTACATAAGACAGCTTCAGATCTATAGTTAAAGACACGACTCAGGTGACTATCTTCTCATCATTCAATGTTGAGCAAACAAAGTTGAATATTTATTTGGTGAAATTGTATAGAATTTTGTTGATTTTTTAGCAAAAATTTTATGACTTTTCTGTCCAAATTTTCTCGAAACAATAACGACCGGAGTTCTTCTCTTTCGATTACTGAAAACTGTACATCGATAGCTGTTGTCGCTGTTGATTTATTAAGATACCACTCACCGTTCTTTAATTCTAGCGCAAACATTAGCAATCTCTTATTCATAATTTTCGATAAGAAAATCTTTCGAATGAATTTTTTATGCCTTTTTCTTTCTTTACTTTAAGAAAAAGTCATTCTATGATTCTTTTCATTTAAACATTGTAGTGGAAGAATTAAACGATGATTTGCTTTAATAGGTATTAATTACTGATTAAATTTTCCAGTTTAACTAACAACGCATTTATTATGTGGAAAAATTCTTTTGTCATATAAACTGAAAAGAAAATATTACATTTATTTATAAGTCAAAAAAATGTTTCTAAAACACAAACTGATCGGACGTTTTCAATCAGAAATATCTAAGTAATCATGGTTGACGTATCATTTATGAATTTTTATTTTTCATTAATATATCGATTAGTTCATCTTACGATTTGTCTATTTGTCTGTATATTAGAAACTTTAGATATGGAAAAGTAGTTTTTAACGCCAATAAAAGTAATATTGATTCCTGATAACATAGGTTGAAGAAAAAATTCATATGGTACAGCATTTGTTCAAATCACAATAAAAAATGATTGAAAAAAGAAACAATAACATTTATTTATTTTATCATTATTTTTATAAGATAAATTTTTAAGAATATATTTGAGAGTTCATCCCTCTAAAGACTGTTATTTTAACTTCATCGTCTTAATGTATCATCTGCGTTCATTCTCATATTCTTCATACCCAACAAAAATAAAAACAGAATATGACTCTGGAAGGCCAAGTGCTAGAATAGTACCTGCAGTAGTTTAGCCATTTTATGAACTGAGTAGTCTGATAAACAAAAAGAATCATGTTACCTATTGAAAGACAAATATTGTAATAAGTTAATTTTAGTCATGAGTTATTAGTTATCCTTCTATTTGACAAAAGTATTTTTGAATTAACGAACGAATTATTGATATGCATACAATTGGAGTTATTACTTGAAAACAATGTTGTAATACTTCAAAAATAAAATAGCGCAATCAAAAAAAAACTACAAACGGCATGATATTTGAAAACTTGCAGTCTTACAAGAATATATAGAACCAGCAAAGTAATAGCTCTTCAAGTACGTATGCATGAATTCAAATGAAAATTAAAACTTTTAAGCAACGTATCGCCTGTTATACGTTCGTTCAAATATTCATTCAACAAATAGAGCATTAATATTCATATTCTATTGACGACGCTTATCATAGAAACTTTCGCATTGAATAAAATTTCTGATAATTATAAGAAAAGTGTAGCATCATAACTACATCTCTCGAACATGTAAGCATAAGTGTTTTTAATTTTTATGCTTCACGTTATTGATATCAAATGTACTTATTTTGTTTGTACAAAATTTCACTTGTACATTCAAAATTATACTTTTCAAACGTATTAATGATCATAAATAGGTGTCTTATCAATAATACTGGAATAAGTAATATTACAAAATGCACAAATTCAAGGTAAGATATGCTGGCGCAGTAAGTCACCATGGATCTACATTTATCTTACAGAGAATAAGAATTTGGGTGTGGGTAAAACAAAGATACATATTCATATCCCCACTTACATACTCGTGCCTTTCCACAGAACAAACAGAATAAAGGCATCTTCATTCGATTCGATTTAGGTCTCTGATATAAACATATTTCAAATAGCCTATTTACAAGAGTATGTCAGAAAATTCCGAGAAGCCTTATTGTCTTCAAGTTTTCGGTTTTTTTTTGTTCGAAAAGAGCATGAAAATTTTTTTTCTTAATATGAATCGGTTGACGGATAGAAGTTTTGAGTCGTGTGTTGCATATGATATTATTTCATTTTTCGATTCGAGTGCAAAAATTTAAAGAAAACAGATGATGCCTATCTGCACAACTCGCAAGAGCAAGATATTAGGAAAAAAGTGAACTTCATATTCATATAGAACTATGAACTGAAACGCTTCTAATGAATAATTTCGAGAAAGTACATACTATTTTTTAGATATGTAAACGGGAATGTGCAAATTGATGAACAAATAGCCTTATGTTTTTCTCGAATGATCGCACCTATTCTGTTTGTCATACTACACAAATCGTCAGAGATGGCAGCTCAATAAATTGAAATTTTCAGATGAGCCTTATCTAATTTCTTGCTTTTCAGTGTTGATCGAAGTTGTTTCCACAATTAAATAATGATCCAATCTCTTTTCTGCAGTAAACTCGCACAAGTCATCATCTTATTATCTTTAAGAGACAAAATCGGTTAAGACTCTCTTTGTTTTAGTTGTTCTTCATCAAAAGACAAAAGAAGAATAAAAATAAATAAACAATAGTTTTATTTAGGATTGGCGTTGAACAAGTGAAGCATTATCAAGTAAAGTATATCAGCATCTCACCGGTTTTTCACAAAACTAATGTACATAACATCAGCTACTTTTCGTGACAAAATAATGGTCCTGTTACACATCGACAATAATTATATATCTCTAACATAAGTACAGCAATCAATCTCATAATCAGTATTGATCATTTAGTATCTTACATCATTAGGTCTAGCATCATTAAAGTGACCTTAATTTTTCATTCTCGTCATTAGCAATTCGTCGAACAATTCTAAACTTCATGCTTTTTACATAATGTTCTAGATAAATCAGTGATAGCACAATCAATTCCAAAGTTGTCACCAAGCCTCCAATCAAACTTATCCACATCGTCACGATGTAAATCGCATCATTTCTGATCTTCCACGTAAAGCTGCATTCTATTGGATGATATTTGTTGAAGTAATCAGAAAAAAGTGACTGCTGCAATAAACTTGTGTCGTTTTTCTTCAAATATGAGTCAAAGAAAGAATGACAATAAGAAACCAGGATGAATGATGCGACAGGATAATAAATAGTGTTAGAGTGTAAGATGTGGATGTGAATATTTGAGAATGTGCTTTCATCATTAGTTTCACATCCACATCCCTGCCAAAATTCCAGATCGTACACATAAGTACATTTCTTACAATTGTTTTGCTATTCTGTCATATATTCCTTAGCATTAAACCTATATAAGATACATGACAAAGTATAGAAATAGACAGATTATGAAATGTAATCAAAGCAGAAGCTTGTTGTTTGTGTGTTTATTTACTAACTATTTCTAATATTCTTCGTCAGAATTCTTCTTTTAATTGATACCAATCGTTCATTGCTCTACAGTATCATACTTAAGAAGCTTTCTCAATTGATTTCTAACAATAAAATGAGCTTAAACATGTTTGCTAGATCTACTGAATTTCAAAATTTCTAGAATGTCGATGGCTGCTCTATTTTGAAGCAAGAAAAATGTAACAATATAAATAGAAATGTTTTATTGCACGTAGTGACGAGTGAAACAAAAAGGCTCCAGTCACTTAGGATTATCGTTACGAATTAAATCAGTAAAATTTCTTTGTATCGATCAATACACATGTGCAATAATGCTAATAAATTTAAACTGTATGTTTATCGTCTTTTTTCTTTGTTACAACACACACATGTCGTGACTCATGTTTCCATGACGCGTAGAAAAACGAATGAAAAAAAATAACATTCACAAAAAAATAACATAAGGAATGACGTGTGAGTTAAATGCAGACAAATTACATTAGTGGAATAAGTTCTTCAACTTTCTCGTTCTACTCAATCTGATTAAAAACAGAAAGAATCATGTAGAATAATCGAGTTACATTTCTTTTCATCAATGTTACATTTTTAAGCTAAAATTAAATATTTAATATATAATTATTTTGTGTTGTTCATCATCACTCAAACAATAATTCTTTTCGTTCTGTTGGAA